AGTATGGGGACATACTGCAACGTTTGGCTTGTCAGCACGCTGACTCACCCACACAAACCATTCGACAATAACAAGCTGCCGCCCTCCAGTACCAAGCCGAACCACTCGTGCTAAGAACACCAAGAATAAAGACAGCTTGCGAGATTTCTTGTCTGACGGCCTACAAAATCTCGCTTTTTGTTTGAGCCGTGTCAAAGTGCTTTTTGTTACCCATCACAACACACGGGAACCCCCGGATTACGCACGGTTTCCGGAAGAACTTGGCGACTGGGACCTTCAGGCGTGGACATCGTGGCCTCAGGCACCCGCGAGGCGGGCATCGCGCCCCTCTCCGGCACGGGCTGGGGCCTCGGAACACGGAGAGATGGGAGGGGCCCACTGCTAGAGCTTGCCCTGCCAATGTTGGGCGCACGTCACAAAATCAGATCGCCTCATCCTTTGCGGACTGGAAACCTGGGCGAGACGCGCACAACTTTCGGGGCCATCTAAAAGGGCGCCGATCACCCCTCCAAGACACGGGGCATCGCGTAATGATGCACCGTTCGGTGATCATCGAAACCAGTCTTGAGTTGGTGTGTTGAGATGTGGGATGAAATTTTGACGGGAGACGGTTGCTTTCCACAGGACCTCACCTTGCCTTCGACGGCAAAGCGTTCACCACCTGGACGGCCCAGTGCGGAGCTGGCGATCGCGCCAACGAGGCGGGCGCGGTCCAGGGCCCGCAACTTTGGGCCGTCGGAACGGCGAAGCTGTTTTCATTGAGTAAAATGACGAGCCGATGGAAACGGTTTTTTCTTCGAGCATGTAGCCCAAAAGTGTTAGAATCCCAGGTTGCCGGTTGCTGAGATATTGACCCAGCTCCGAAGCAGGACACCCCCTGTCAAGACAACCGATTCGGTCCACTGAGCGCAGGATGCCGACTGCCGGGCCGGAGTGGAGTGGGTGGGCCTGGACTTCAACCGCAAGTTTGGGGGCTTGCCAGTGATGGTCAGGCGTGCCAGAGAGAGCGAGAGCGGGAGGGAGAGAGGGAGAGCAGGTGAGAATGAAACTGCTACCCTGGATAGCATCTTGAAGCAAGACATCTTCCTGAGTCAGTGTTTTTGTTCGGATCCCGACTCCTTTAGGAGGCTATCAGCGAGGCACACTGACATGCAATTTTGCAAGGGTTTGGGTTCCTCCAAGACAAGGTCACAACATCGCCATGAAAGGTTAAGTCCGTGAGTCTTTGAGTGTGTCTTTCAGACGCATATCGTCTTTATCAGCTTTTACTGGCAATTACTCTGTAAGCCCTCTCAGCACGCCGACGCTCTGCTAGCCTGTCATTCTCTTCCCCTGCCTTTGTTCCGAATATTTCGACAATGGAGCTTATCAGCAGTGCCATCCTTGGAAGGCCGCCACCAGCATCATCATCATCATCATCATCATCATCATCATCATCATCATCATCATCATCATCATCATCATCATCATCATCATCATCATCATCATCTCCCTTGTGTTACCGTGTTAAAGCCATCCGTGGCGTACTCCATCTTCTTGTAGCATGGCAGTGTGCCATGGCTGGATGATCCTTCTTATTGCTCAACCTGAGCTGCCCGAAAAGGCTTGATCCAAATCCACACCCAGGGACCAACCCTTGAACGTTGAAGTCTCCGGCATTCAAATGGGTACAATGTCGGCAATACTCCACCGGCAATATGTTGCATTCGCTGCCCCTCCAGCGAGGGAGAACTGATTTGGTCCGTCTCAAACCACAGTTTTCCTCATCTTGCCAAAGGGAAAAGCCGAAGTGGTTTTGGTTGCCTCAAACAAGAAGGGGTGTCGGATTATCCAGTAGCACCTGCATGGTTTCGTCCACGTGAGGTGCATGAAGCTGACACAGAGCCGAAGCTCTGCCAGCGACTGCTGCGACCCCGCGAAGAGCGTGACACTGGACCGCTGGAACGGCACCCACTGGGCGCAGGTAGGGTCAGCTCTGCTCTCACCGGTGCCCCGGGTGCGGTTCACTGAACCTTAGTGTTCACATCACCTGCCCCCCTTCCCCCCCCAAACTCCCTCAAGTGCGAATCTGGAAACTGACCAGGCCAGGATTCGGCCCCGCAAGAAGTACAAAACACGCGAGAGAAGTACGCGCCAGGCAACCAGTATTTGCACCATCCAAGTGCTGGAAGCCTGGGTTGGTTTATGAGTATGGCCGAGACAATGTTGCTTCTCCGCATTTTGAAATCTACGGAGGTTTTCGTTTTGACACCTCCATGCCGGAGTCCTCTGCTTTTTTCCACTTGAGATAACCTCACGCTTCTTGTTCCTGTTAGGGAGATACGCGGGTGCGCAAGGCCAGCTGGCGGCACACGGCGGACACGGGTGAGGTCTTCAGCATCGAGGGCTACTTCACCAACACGGCGCCCTGCCCCTCCCTCGATGCGGAGCAGGCGGAAACCGCCTTGGTTGTGTGCAGGGAAGCTCAGGTATGGCAGCGGATTCTAAAGTTCATGGTGTTTGGTGCCAAGAACGCAAGGAACAAGTTGTTCGATCGTGTGCTTGCGTGAGTGATTCTCAGAAACGTGGTGGCTATATTCAGAGGCAGGTTGAGTTTGGTTTTGACTTCAACGTCATGCATCGCAGTCGGAGGCATGCATTGTACATGGCTTACGTCTTGGTTGAGGGTTGCTTAAGGCTGGTTAATGGCTGGTTAAGGGTTGCTCAAGGGTTGAGATGTCCTCTCCAAACTGAGAGGTGCAGCTGGCGCTGGCGGGGCAGCTCTCCAGCAGCATCGCCCTGCAGCCCTCCATTGAGAGCCGCAGCCGCCGCCAGAGCGAGGCGCGGGCGCACGGGGGAGCTTCATGCTTGCACAGGTCGTGGTGCCACGTCGTTTGCTTTCATTCAAAGATTAATGACCTGACTGACACACGGACGCACAGAGACACAGACACACAGAGACACAGACCCATAGAGACACAGACACACAGGCCAAGAGACACCCACACACACACACACAGACACACAGAGACACAGACACACAGAGACGCAGACACATACACACACACAGACACACAGAGACGCAGACACACAGACACACAGACACACGCACACACACAGACACACAGAGACAGACACACAGAGACACAGACACACACACACACACAGACACACAGAGACAGAGACACACACACACACACACATGCACACAGAGACACAGACGCACAGGGCGCATAGACACACAGGGCACATAGACACACAGACCCAGAGACACAGACACACAGGGCACCCAGACACGCAGAGAAACAGACACATAGACACGCACACACACACACAGCCACGCGGAGACACAGACGCAAAGACACACAGAGACACAGGGCACATAGACACACAGACACACAGGCCAAGAGACACCCACACACAGACACACAGAGACACAGAGACACAGACACACAGAGACACAGACACACACACACACAGACGCACAGAGACGCAGACACACAGACACACAGACACACAGACACACAGACACACAGACACACAGACACACAGAGACAAAGACACGCACACACACACACAGACACACACAGACACAGACACACAGGGCACATATATAGACACACAGGGCACATGGAGACACAGAGACGCAGACACACAGAGACGCAGACACACACACACACAGACACACAGAGACACAGACACAAAGGCCAAGAGACACCCACACACACACACAGACACACAGAGACACAGACACACAGAGACGCAGACACACACACACAGACACACAGAGACGCAGACACACAGACACACAGACACACAGAAACATAGACACGCAGAGACACAGACACAGACGCCCAGGCGCAGACACACAGACACACAAACACACGGACACACAGACACACGGACCCAGACACACAGGGCACACAGACACACAGACAAACAGACACACAGAGAGACAGACACACAGACACACAGACACACAGACACATAGACACACACACACACAGACACACAGAGACACAGACACAGGGGGCCAAGAGACACCCACACACAGACACACGGACACACACCCACACAGACGCACAGAGACAGACACTCAGACACACAGACACACAGGCCAAGAGACACCCACACAAACACACAGAGACACAGTCACACAGACACACGGGCACACAGAGAGACAGACACGCACAGACACACAGAGGCACACACGCAGACACACACAGACACAGACACACAGAGACGCAGACACACAGACACACAGAGACGCAGACACACACACACACACACAGACACGCAGACACAGACACACAGACACACAGACCCACAGACACACAGACACCTGGTGTGTCACTTGGAGATTTGGTTTGAGGCTTCAAGCTTGCCAACTTCATTGCACAAGAGAACCGAGATTGATAAAGTGTTTGTTGCGCTGGGCCCTTTAAGCGGACTGTTTGGCGTGGAAGTTGGTGAATCAGTGGCATCTCGTGTTGTGCGATGTTGAGCCACTGCCCTTGGATCAACTTGTTTTGGTGAAATGAGGTCACTTTCTCAAGGCTTGCTACTCTCAATTCCACAACCTTGCCCTGATCTCCTTCCAGGTGTGCGTGATCCCCAACTCCGGCTCGGTGAAGCTCCTCGCAGATCCTTTCTGCGAGAAGCACTCGGTATGCGCGCAGGCAAGAGGGGCAGAGTAGAGGGAGGGGAGGGATCGGAGTGGCGTGTGATGGTGGAGCACCTTGTTGAATTGCGCATGCTGGCCGAAGCTGGGAGACTGTAATAATTTGGTCGCGGCTACCTTGATCATTGTATGTATGACTTCGCGCTTCGGGACGCACTTTTGTACCTTCCATAGGCAAGCATGTGATTTGACAGACCTGATGCAAGAGCCAAGCATGTAAACTGAGCTGTGCATTTCGATAATCCGCAAATAGCAAATCTTGCTTCTGGCCGTTACAGTTCGAGAAGCATCCTTTCTGAGGATGCAGGATTGTGAAAGGGTTGCAACATATTTGATTTGGGGACAGTTCTTTTCCAATTTCTCTTGAAACCTACCGCCCCAGACCCCCATTTTCCCTGACGTGGCCTCCATGGCAGAATCCACTTGCTGGGTTCGCCGATCAGCTCGGCAAGTCAAGCAAAGCCCTTTCGACTCAGGCAGGCTTCCAGGGGGACTGCTGCCCCAAGGTGTCTCGGGCGAGGGCGGATGGCTGGATGGCTAGGGCGGATGCGTGCGTTGTTTTGTGTGCCCTTGCGTTTTGCCATAGACAGAGCCGAGTATCAAACATAATGAAATTTCTGACAATCCAATAATGATTTGTGGCGGAGCCTGGCGGGAGCAGTTTGCCTGGAAGATCGAAACCAGAAAAGTTTGCTCGTGCAAGGACCCCAGTTGTTATTTGGGAGTTCTCTGTGAAGAGGGCAGTGACGAAGAAGAATGAGGATGAGGAGGAGGGGTGGAACGAGGATTATGATGATGCTGACAATGCTGACGATGATGATGATGATGATGATGATGCTGATGATGATGCTGATGATGCCAACGATGCTGGCGATGCTGGCGATGCTGACAATGCTGGCGATGCTGACAATGCCCATGATGATGATGCTGATGCTGCCTGATGCCGACGACTGCTGATGCTGATGCTGCTGCTGATGCTACTCCTGATGCTAAGCATGACGATGATGCTGATGCTGATGATGCTGACGATGCTGATGCTGATCCGGATGCTGACGCTGATGATTCTAGGATGATGATGTGATGACGCATGATGACGATGAAGGAGAGGATGATGATGATGATGAGGAGGAGGAGGAGGAGGATGACGACGATGATGGCGACGATGTTGATGATGTTGATGATCATGATGATGATGATGGTGATGGTGATGCTGGTGATGGTGATGGTGATACTGGTGATGGTGATGCTGACGATGGTGATAGTGATGGTGACGGTGATGGTGATGGTGATGCTGGCGATGGTGATGGTGATGGTGACGGAGATGGTGATGGAGATGATGATGGTGATGGAGATGATGATGGTGATGGAGATGATGATGGTGATGGTGATGATGGTCATGATGGTGAAGGACGACGCCGACGACGATGACCATATTTAACTGCAGTGGCAAAATGTGTAGTACACTGGCATAATTTTGAATCGGGGATGCTTCCACCTGATACAGTAGCCACGATCGATACTACGCCACGTGACATTTGATCTTGATTGTCGACTTGTTGCAACTTCAACCGCTCCCCGCTTCGTGATGCTCGTACTCTGTGTGCAGAGGCTTGCCCATTCGCAGAAGCCAGAGACAATGTGTCTCATCCTGCAGCTCCATGTTGGTAAACACTCCAAAAACAAGGCAACGCCGCTGTTAGCGGAAGTGAGTGCTTTGCCTATTGTCACCTTTAGCCGAAGCAGATTTGCGACTGCTGCCCAGAGTGACGTGCAGCGATGAAAGGTATTGTTCAAAGCAGCTGTATCGCTGTTTTGGAAAACCAACCTCACAGAAGATCAGAAAGTTGCCGTGCTTTGATCACGAATATCCGAGGATGAGGGCATGTCGCGGTGCTGCTGCAACTACAACATCAACATGGAGGCTGCGAGAAGGAACAGGTTTGTATGGGACTGCCAGGGTTTATTGCCTGATAATTTGGTGTGATGTCAAAGCAATGTTAACATTCCAGAGGAAACTATTTACACATGCATGGAATTTTAGTGATGGTGACCCAGATCTACATCGGCCAACAAGGCATGTTGTTTGGTGGCAGCTGTGCTGCTTTCAAACCATGTATCAAGAAAACTGCGTGCGGCAATATATGCAATCCAATGTCCTTCCTGTTTGTCCAGTATTGAGGCCTTGTGGGGTTGCTTGTCACTGCAAAAGTCATGACCTGGGAGCAACACGTTTAATTTGGGACATGGCATGACATGGTATCTTGCTGCCTGGTAGGTCAATCCCGATCCCAGCGACACAGAGCGGTAGTTAGAGGCACCCCAGCAATTTGCTCTAAGCACTCCCAGTGCCCAGCGTTTTGCAAACGAAGCCAGGCATGTAGCGTGCCCAGTCTAAACTTCCCAGATGTTGCGATGTATGAAAGTCCTCCTTGAAAGGAGTTTCCATGGCTTCCAAGCATGGGGCTGGCTTCTGCAGTCTTCGGCCATTCTGTCTTTGAGATTGCTTTTTCTCACTTTTTCTCCGTTGAACTTAGAGCTTGAGGCCTCTTGTCGGGCAGGTCTTTGAAGATGAGCTCCTGGATGCCAAGATCGCTGCGGAGGTGAGGGAGGAGCCCGTGGTAGGCGCGGATCTTCGGCAACGTCCGGGAAGTTTGGCTCGGATCGGGTTTGTCTCATGGACTGTGGTTGTCCCAAAAAGGGTACCCTCAAAATAGGCAGCTTCTTTGGCAGTTTGAGCCAAAGGGCTTCGAAGAAGCAAGCCAGTCATTTGGACATGGAAGCTGGTTGTCTCTCGATTGACTAAGTGAATGGGCTGGAAACAAAGCTTTGGGGGCTTCGGCACCTGCAGATTTGTCCAAGCGCAGTGGAATCATATTTGGCTGGACCTGAGGAGACGTTTTCATGTTCATGTCAGAATGTTCAGTGCAGCGCCCTGCCTTTTTGAGCAGGGCAGACGCTTAAGATGTTTGGTTGCTCAGCAAGAAAGGTATGAGAGGAGAGTCCACCCCAAGTGACGAGACAGATGCTATTGAGACATTGCCAAGTGCAACAGACCTGTCATCATTCCTTGTTGCTAGTGTGTTTCGATGCTTCCTGTTCAGATTTGCGAGGAGCTGCGCACGCACACAACACCAGGATTCAATGAACAAGTCCAAACAAACGACAAGTGCGACCGTAGCGATGTTTTTCTGGGATCCTATCATATTCCACTGGAAGACCACACAGGAATGACAACTCTTCGAAGCGGTGGGTGGGCACGGCTCGCAGAGTCGAGCCACACAGCCAGGCTTCGAGCTGATCATCATCCAGTCTGCGCCCGGCTCTCAGAGTTTTCAAGTTTGCTTTCCTGATGCTCGTGTCGATGGTCATGGATGGTGTATCTGAATCGGTCTCTTCTGGGAAGACATGCCATTGTTGGCCGGGCTAATTCAGGTCCTTACGCTGCAGTACGTGCCACATAGCTTTGTCTACAAAGCCATGCTTTCTCTAAGCTCGGATGTGGCAGTGTGCACAACAAAGTGCTCTCTGCAAATAGACTGCTCTCATTGCTGTGAAACCAATGCAGCTAGTCAATGATTGGGTGCAGGGAGGCGCCACCTCATTGTCCAAGGGGTCTGACTTACAAAGGCCTGCTTGCGGCATGCGCAAGCCGCCAGTGGGCCAGGACTGTGCTTCCCTTCATCGGAGTGTTGACAGCAATCGTCTTCCTTATCATCTACTCTGCCTGGAGGCCCAGAGAGGAAGTCGGCAATTGCCGGATGAAAAGCCGTGGGCTCTTACGACGACGGGGAAAGAGAGGGAAAGCGAGAGCGAGAGATAGAGAGAGAGAGAGAGAGAGATAGAGAAAGAGACGTTGTGTGTGTGTGTGTGTGTGTCCGAGCATTCCATGTGCAGATCAGATGCAAGGGTTTGCCAGGCGAACACCCCCTTGAATGAACAGGGTCCAACTCTGCCATTGTTCTCCAGGCAGTTTCAGGTTGCGCACCCAGTCAAGCTGGGCCGAGAAGTTTGGCTTGATCTTTGTTGGCCCACGCTTTTCTGTGAAGTGTCTCCATGTCAAGAGGATGTTGGCGCCTGGCATCCCACGAAGCTGGACACATGCGCAGGTGCTGGGATGCTTAACAGTTAACCCGCATCAATGAGGCCCTTTGTTTCTTTTTCTGACTTCAGTCTCAGGAATGTAAGATGAGCTTGCCAATGCTAGCAGGCAGCCTTCAAAGCAACTGTTTCGACTTGAGCCCATTGCTTCACCCGCAAAAATGCAGAGGGGCAATGGCTGGTGCTTCAAAGGACCTCTGCTTGAGGGGTTCTCAACGTGTGACTGAGATCCCAAAGCCAGCGAGCAGCGACGACGGGACCACGACCTGCTCCGAGAGGCGAGTCCGGAGTCAGGAACCTAACAAAAACGGAGCTGGGGTGAACAGCTTATGAAATCGCATTGCAGAAGCCGCACCTCAGAATCGCAGGAACGCCTGCCATGGGGCACGAAGTCAGGGGTGGCTTGGAAAAGGCATGTTCATCCCCTAGCCCTGCCTGACATGTTTGAACGAGCGGGTTTGGCTCATGCAGACGTCATTGACTTTCTGCCCAACAGAACGGGCGAGCGGCAGTGGTTCCACCTGTCATAGGTGACCGCCTCTTCCTTGTCGTATGAACAGCCTGATTTGAATTGCAGTTTTCATTGGTGACCACTATAGTAGTATTTGGATCCACCGGGGGGGTGGCCTCACTTATTTGTGCGATTGGGTGATGCGTTGGCAACGGTTTAGATGGGCAAGGCGTGTTTTGCACCGAAGTAATACTTGGGCTGAGGCTCTTGTTCTAGAGCATCAGGTCTTGGCAGAACAAGATAAACCTGTTTGATGTGCTGCACAAAGTTCTGGCGTTTGACATAGTGGGAGGTAAGTTTATGTGAATTATGCTCCCCCCCCCGCCGGCAAAATAAGAAAACCTCAGGACTGGGGTGCCGACAGTGCTTTCTTCCCTCCAGTGGCAACTTCTTTGCTTTGCAGGATGTGGTACCGCATTTGTGGGCCCACCCACAGGCCTGGGAGCTGCATTGAAGGGTGTTGGGAGTTATTCAGCGTAATTTCCACTGCGTCAAGGTGTGCTTTGCCGCTTTCTGTAGGGATGATGTTCTCGTGGTGCCGAGAACTTGCGTTGAACACGCGGGGCATGCCAAGACTTTGTTACCCGAAGCTATCAGGAGCTGACTCTTGCCAAGCCGAGTCTTGAAGGGGGGCCCTTTGAGAAAACCCTTGTCGTGGTGATGGTGCTGCCTCGGGCATAAGGTGCAGTCCAGCTAGGAGCTTGGCGCTTGGCCTTCGTTGCTTGCGCTTGAGAGTAGATCCAGTTCGGGTCATGCTGGGTCGGCTGTTTGCAAAGGTTTCAACAAGGGCTCAGGGGACGGACTTCTCAATGTAAAGGGGCTTGTCCTGCTGCAGCAAAAAGATGCGCCCAGGCCCCCTTCCTTTGTTAAGCTAGTGGAGCCCTTAAAGTGGGGTCTACATGGCGATCACGGTTGTTATGGGTCTGCATTGACCCCTTCAGGTAGCAGAAGAAAGTGATTGTTCCTACAGCCCATACTCATATCAGTCAACCATCCCTGATCGGAAGGAATTCTCAGCCCGGATGGCCGGTTCCGCCCGTGCAATGCCCACAAGACCCGTCCAAGAGTTCTGAGGCAACGGCCACGGGTTGCATGGCGAGACTCCATTGCCAATCCTTGCCATCCGGAAATCTTTGTCGGGAAGGCTGCCAAAACTGGAGACGCCTCCCACTGGCCCGGGCGAGGTGGTTGAATGGTGGCGGACTGGTGCCTACTCTCCTGTGCGGAGCTTAGCATGCTGACTGCAAACCAGGCCCCAGCAAGTCAAGGACTCCAGCCGTACTTGTGCGAGCAAATATCCGGGGGTTTTGATCAAAGCCACTACGGCTTTGTACGTATGCGCAAAAACCTATTTGTTGATCATGAACCCATTCACTTCAGGTCTCAAACTTGGAAGTTCCACCCTTCAAGAACAAGAACAACAAAGCAGCCCCAGTCCCATTCGGCCAATGCGCCCTGGGCACGCCAGAGTTCGAGTCTTTGCCTGGGGTTTTCCCCAAAAAAAGCTGTACTCCCTTCAACATGTTTTGTTTGTTACCAACTCTATGGGTGCACTTCCTATTTCATATTTCAGGACACGCTTGGCACGTTTTCATCCTGTGGCTTGGACCTGAGGCTGCAGCTGGTGACCCGCACGCCGCTGGACCGGCTTTGGACGATCTTCTTGAAGAGGCGAAGTCCAAAAGCCGAAGGATGGGACGAGTGGTTTCAGCCCGGAGTTCACCCGACGGGGCTGTGGGCATGTGCAAGAGGGAGTGCCGCGGCAAGGGTGCAGACATGGCTTGCACGCCTAGTGTGCACCAAGTTGCTTGCGCGACAGCCCCGTTTCAGCGAGCAGCTTCGTGGCAGGGTCCTGCTGCTCTTGCTGGGCTTCGTGGTGGGCTCCATGCTGGTCTGGGCCGTCAGGGGCGCCCAGCGCGATTCAGATGTCGGGATTCCTTTGGAGATCGGGTTCTCTCAGAAGATCCTTGGAATCGGGTTTTGGGGTACCCGAGGTGCTCTCCTACCTCCTCTCGGAGATGATTACTAGGCGAGGTCGGGGGGCTGATCGGAGTCCTCTGGAGGGCCCAGGGCCAAACGCAGGAACATCCGTCCCTTCCACACATCCCTCGGCCCAACAGGACCTCTCAAAGGCACACGTGAAAGCGGCTTCTCAAACTCGCCGGGGTGCTGGGCTTTCCAGCCTTTGCGCTGCTGGCATGTGTTTCCCGCAGACTCTTCTCAACATCAATCTTCGCACTGGCGATGCCTTTTAAACAGCGTCCAAGACCTACTGCCTAGCTTCATAGTTGTTATAGAAGCAAGGTGTCTATATATATATAATCTGTATAGACCATTGTAAGCTATGAACCTTTGCAATCGTGGTGGTAAAACCAAAATCAATGGACTTCGGATGCTCACTTGACTTTCAGTGAGGGGGGACGCTAGTAGTACTGGCCCCCTAATCGCCCTTTCTTCGGCAGCCAACTGACTTCCGACGTCCTGACTCATTATTGTGCATATCGGAAGCGCGCGCCAGAGCTGTACATGGTACATGACATGTGGTCATTGTTTTAAGAGTTTGTCAGCCAGCGCTCGTCACAGTACACCATGGCAGTGGGTTTGATGAACAGAAGGGTCTATTACCTGGAGGCTGCCAGGCTATGTGCCTCCGCAGATTCGGCAGGATCATCCTGGCCTTCAGCTTTTTCATCCGCTGGTCCAAGTCGCCGGGGCCCCGAGGGGGAGGCTTGAGCCGGGCGCAAGTCAAAAAAGCCGCTTGGAGCATCCGTGACGCGTGATGTTTCAATCGAGACCCATTGGCAACATGGCGAAGCAACACAGGGCGTTGGTTGAACAATGCTTGAGCATGTCAAGACTGCTCGACGCCAAGCTGCGCGGACTTTTGCTGGCCTTGAGTTGTGTCATTCATCAATGCACTGCAAAGCATTTCTTGGGCCAGCACAGAGTATGACAACACCCGAGGGGAAACTTTTATTGTTTGCCCTATTGTGGGACAACATATCGGCCAGACAGCTAATCGACCACAAAGAATAAAAGTCAATACTAGAGCACCACTAAGCCAGTTGTAAATTCTGTTGTAATCACTTCTAGTGGCCCAATTCATTCAAGCTGCAGCTCCACCATCCGCAAACTTTGAAACTTGCAGCACAACCGCCTCCCCAACTCAACATCAAGTACATAATATTGAAAAAGTCGCCCTGCAGGCGCCCTCCCTCAAACAACAACCGTGTCAATGACGCTCGCCTACATTTGTGTTGAGATTTTCTGGGATCCACGATTCAATAAACTAAATGAAATGGAAACTCAAATCCATCTATTCTAATTCAAGGGGACGCTTAGATCAATACCTCAAAAGGAAGCTCCAATAATACTGAATCACATGGTAAAGCTAATCTCAAAAGGACACTCCGGCAATAACCAAGTATTGAAACTCAAATTTCGGCCGAGCAATACAATACTAAGCAATTCCAAATCACGCTTTTTGTGCTGAGGGTTAAGGGGGCTGAGTTGATTAATCGTAGGTGGAGACTAGTCAGCAAAAGGCTGAAGTGGGGTGAATCTCAATGCTGCATGATACGACGGTCAAACATTTGAGGGTGCTGGACGATAGACACCCCAGTCAAGATGTCTCCAGGAATGATTTTTCCTTGCTATGGTTGAATGGCAGCTTGAAAAGTATTCTCGGCTCGAATAAGAACCGTTTGAGCAACAAAGGAAAGTTGCGTGCAGTTCCGTGGTGTTGCAAATGCATGGGCTGGTGAAGCTTTCTTACAGTGCTTGTATTTCTTTGTGTGCGTGCCACCTTGTAGGCTCCTGGACTCACTTGACGTTCTCAATACTCCAACGCTCTTGGCAGAGCCAACTTGCCAGATGTTGGGCGTCGCTAAGCAGCAAGCCACTTCCAGCCAGCCGGATTCTGAGAGACGGCTGACTTAGAATCCTTCCGTCCCCCGAATGACATTGCTGCCTTCAGGCGCTACGACCCTAAGAATCCCGCGCAGAAGCGGGGGCCCTCGGCGCGGCTTGCTCGCCGTTGTCGAACATGTCGTTATGTGCAGAATGAACACAGGCAGAGCCGCTGGAACTAGCGGTGAGCAAGGCAAATGTTGAGCAACTCAGTATCTTTTGCTGCAGCACCTGGCGATTGGTCTCTTTGCCGCGCCCGCCTGCAAGCGGGAGTCTGGCATTCTACCCCTACACATCTAAGGATCTGGTTTAGCTGGGTCCACGTTTGCGACCATTCCTCAACGGCCCACGGGTCAGTGAAGGACACGAGGCACGCCATTTTGATGTCCTTCGTTTGCGTTATCACCAGGGACCCGCAACGAGAAGACCTGCAAGCATCAGAATCCTCGTTGTCACTTTTTCGCCCACTCCATACTGTAGGTCCCAGTGGTTCTCTTGGCTTTGCTGACTGCATACTCATGTAAGATTTAGGCCTTGGGTGTGTCGTTTTGTGGGTACCTTGGGGTTGGTTTTTGGGAGATGGATTCTCCCCACCCATTTGTTGGGGGGTCTGGCTTGTGTCAGACCCCATTTACTGCTTTCGGCTTGCCCTGTTTTCGAGGCGGCGCCTGGCAGTGGTGCTGGGCCTGCCACTGGGCGACCCTGAGGGGAGCGCAGTGTCAGGGCCCTGAGCCTGGGAGGGGAGGGATGGTGATGCATTTGCCAAGGGTGATGCTATGGGGCCGGGAGGTGTTTTCGGCCAAGTGCCCCGAAAGGGCTCGAAGGTCAGACACGGTTGGCACAAGAGCATCGCTTTCGTTCCACGAGGGAACAAGGGAACACAGCTCTCAGGCTTCGGCAATGCTTTTCTCACAAGAAAATGGATAGAAGGCCTCGCATCCGTTTAGTGGGGATATCTCTTCACCTTCGGCCCCGCAACCAGCCGCATGAGGAGCTCGCAAAACGAGGCGCCTCAAAATGTTCCATGAAACCCTCGACATGGATGGATGGTAGTGGCGCCCCCCAAACAAAACCCGAAAAGGCCCATGGTCTTCCAAGTCATTTCGAGCGAGCCGCGGACGAGAGACGAGGATACGAGCCGATCCGAGCAGGATCAAAGTCCCGAACCTTGGAGCCATGATCTCCGCCTTCTGCGAGACCATGGCGCGGGTTGAGCAGAATCCCGCGCTACCGATCGGACAGCGGGTTGATTTGGGCCTCGGATTCGTTGTGGTTTGTGCCAATCTTCGGAAATGCCCTGCCTGGTCTCATTTCCGGCTGCTTCTTTCGTGTGACAGTTTGGATTCACACCTTGGCGCATATCATACTTATAGCTTTGCAAGCCATTCTCTGGGTTCTGTGGGCTTGATGGCTCTTTCTGTATTGGTGTTTCGGGGCTGACCAAAGCGGAGAGCCGGCAGGCGATAGCCTTTGTCAATCTCATCCAAGCCATGTTCGACGTGATCCTGATAAGGCGGGCGTGGGCTGGGCGGCTCTCAAAAATCGTGCAGTCATGTGCAGTCGTAAATCTGAGGAAGATGCAGCCTGATCGCAAGACAAGAGCTTTATACTCGTAGCTTGAAAAAGGCAAGCGATCAAGATCTTGTTCTTTGGACTTCCGTGCCCCGCTCGTCAAAGCCAGCCATTCCTGGATCAGATCTCAAATAAGAACAAACCACGTGGGAAAGAACACTCCCAAAAGGGACAAGATTACACAACATGTGGGAAAGAAACGTTCCCCAGCTGCAACGCTTGAGTCTTTCAAGCCTTTGAACCCTTTGCACTTGTGGGGGAGCTCATTTCTTTCGGTTGTCGGGGTATCATGGTTGCCGTGCCCACAAGTTTTGAAGTTTGAGGGCTTCGCATTCTCGCGCATTCGATTTCCTTAATTCAGCCCCTCCCCCGCCGAACGTGACGATCCGCGCCCTCGAGGTTCGCCTTTGTCAGCATTGGCGACCGGAATCCCAGGATCTAAGCAGCCAATAGGAAGCTAGCTTTGAGGGCGGCTGAAGATAGGCCAGGTAAACATGAGAAGCTGTCGACCGTGGGCTTGGCTCAGCGTGCTTGATTGTACGTGCTTGTTCATTGAAGCGGAAGAGCAGTATGCTCCGATCGAATGTTGCGAATGCATGATTTCTCAGACTTCGTGATGCTCAGTATCTTGGGGCGATGGGGTTCAAATCTTGCCGAAGCTTGTCGAAGGTGCCCAAGCGAAAGTAGTTGATGGAGGGTGTACAAGCGGTTTCTCAAACTGGGTGACGAGTTTCAAGATGCCCCCCTCTGGCCCAACAACTAACTGCCCTGCTTTTCGTCTTACCATCGACTCATCAAGGTTCCTACGTCATGTGATGTGCCCCGATTTAGGCATCCAGGGATGGATGATTTGGTGTCGTTTCCTTGCCAGACAAAGTTGGCCATGAGTGCCTCCACGTCAAGTGGCAAAACCCAGCGCCGAAGAAACCCAGCGCCGAAGCCTGGCTTTGCGAGTTGCATGTTTGCTTGGAGCCTTGGCTTTTCATGGTTGGATTCCCTTGATAGTCCCCCAGCCGCTGGCTTCCTGCGATAGCTTGGACAATTCTTGGCTTTCCCATGCGCGCTTTGCGCCTTGCGACATTAGGCTGTGGACATCAGGCTGTCCGCACTGGACATTGTCATCAAGGCGCGGCGTGTGGGTGTGGATGGGACACCGCCGTCGATCTAAAGAGGGGTTTGACCCCCGTTCACCGCCCCGACTACCTAGGCGATCCTTCTACACCGGGCATTGTTGGGCCAAAGCCCAATGTTGACAAGACTCTGTCTCTTTTAACCCTAAGAACTTGGATCCAGGGATTCCGCTTCAGGTGCCAAGCTTCGGGGTGGACCTGTCCGGCCTGTGGGGCGCTCAAGCGCCGGAAGGGGGGTTTTGCTGCGTGGACAAAATGCAGGATTCATGAGGGAGAGTTCGTCCATGTCCATTGTCTCTGTGTGTATGGGTTTAAGATCGTTCATAAGCATATACTCACATAGAATCCAATAGAATTCTCGTAGATTGTCGGTATTTTGCTTGTCCATGGTGCAGCTGAACACGATTCAAAGAAAGAAGGGTGCTGGCTGACTTCCAGCCATGCTGAAGTTTCCGCTGAAGCCACAAGGGGCTGAACACTGATTGTCTCATTCGAAGCAAAGCAGATAGTATTGCGGGAAAGTGAACATCAAACAATTGACAGCGAATGACTCAAGCTTGCAGAGAGAACGGGAGAGCATACATCAGATTCAGATGTCTAAAGCCGACGCGCCATGCACGAAGGCCTGGACGCTTGCCTGCCTTGGAGCTATGGTCCGGGTTTCAAGTTTATATTGTTTTCAAGCAGCACACTAACGACGCTGGACCTTGTCTAGAAAGAAGACGAAGACTGGGGCGACTCGCCAATCTTTCTATGACAATGTGTCTTTCTTGTTGCCAGGTCAGGTCAACAACTTCAACCCTTGCACAGACAACCGCCTGAAAACGGCCGGCGCAAATGGCTAATTCGTCGGAAAAGGTACTCACTTGGTGTGCGGCAATGCGGCAACTTGGAAGCTGACATTATTGCATCAACAGGAGGCTGTGTTAAGCTACCATTTAGTGGCTTTCTTCTCTAGACGTGACTCGAGCATCCTCAATCCAGCAACTCCCCCACCTGCGTGTGGCGCCATCCCTGGCAAAGCAGAAATTCCTCCCGGCTGTGAAAACGCCGGGCACTCGGCTTCCGCTGAGGGCAGCGATCCTTTACGACATTGCGACGCTGCGGACTCAGGATAGCACAGTGCTGGAGGTTCCAGATCATGCCCCTAGCCTTGACCAAAAGAAACACTGGCCATAACTTGATTCTGATTGCTCAGCCTTCTGCTCTGATTCGCGTTGACTAGGTACAAAATTCAAGCTTTACGGCCAACCCCCTACAAGCCACATTATGGCGAAGGCACTCAGCTTTGACAGGACCCGCATTGGTGACGCAACAGGTGTTCTTTCATTGCGAGGGGTCATACTGGGCGTCTTGTTCAGACTTCGGGGTTTTCGCACACTTCAAGAGCATGTGCCAGGAACGGCTTTGGCTCCCTGCCAGAATTCTGAGCGTCTTGTGAATCGCTTGCGAGCGACAGTTGTCTAAAGCCGACCTTTCAACCTTTTGTTTTTTCCTTTTTGACCTATTTATAGTCAAGGTCCTCAAAGGCTAGCCTTTTGTTTCCAGGTCCTTTAGGCAAGTAAGGATGTCATCAATCCTTCCTCTCTGCCCAAGATCCGAATCATTGGTGTACTCTTGAAGAGCTTTGAAGTGAGCTGTCAATTGACAAGCATATTCGAAAGAGCACTTCAGTTAAAGCAAGACGTGTGTCCCAACCACTCTGTTGCCAGCCACCCAGATGGCCGACCTGCAGCGGGGAGGTAGCTCCTGCGCCTCGCTGAGGATAGCAGAGCGCTTCTATTTGGCTGTCATGGCCACCATGTTCGTGGGCACCCCTCGCTGCGAAGGACACAGTGGGGCCGGAGTGGTGAGCAAGCCTGCGGTTGGGGGTGGGGGTTGGCGTGGTTGTGTCCGTCATTCACGATGGCTGCTTGGTGCATTCTCACTATTTTCCTTATGTGACATTATGTGAATACAAACATATTTTCTCACTAGTTCCTGTACGCAGCAACCATTGTTAATTGTCATGTTCCTTTAGATGCTTTCTGTTATCAAAGTTATTTCTTTGGAGACCTAGGGCTAAAACGAGTCCTTCACCAGGCTCATTAGGGTAGCCCCTGATACAGTACCCCTCCGAAATCACCCAGATCCCCATGTATTCTATTAGGGTGGGTATGCTGCTTATTTGTCTTATGTAGAAAGAAATCATTGCCAACTCATCCACCCACTCCCACCCACAACCCACACCCACCCACACCCACCGTACCCACCCACACCAACCCACACCAACCCACACAGACACACGCACGGACGCCCACCCACACCAACACACCCGCGCACACAAACATAAACCCACTCGCACACACACACACACACAGACGCGTGCATGCACACGCGGACACCCCCACCCCCACCCCCACCCGCACCCCCACACCCACACATACACACAAACATACAAACACACAAACACGCAAACACACACACACACAAACACACAAACAAACGCAAGCAAACACACACACACAAACACACACACACACACAAAAAAAGAAACACACACCAACACACCAAATCACAAACACACACACACACAACAGGCACAAGCACACAAGCACAAGCGCACAAGCGCACAAGCGCACGAGCGCACACGCACACAAGCACACAAGCACACGAGCACACAAGCACACAAGCACACAAGCACACAAGCACACAAGCACACAAGCACACAAGCACACAAGCACACAAGCACACGAGCACACAAGCACACAAGCACGCAAGCACACAGGCACACAAGCGCACAAGCACACAAGCAATCAATCACACAAGCACAGAAGCAATCAAACACAAGCACACAAAGCACGCAAAGCACACAAGCACAGAAGCACACAGGCACACAGACACACAAAACAAACAAAGCACACAAAGCACAAGCACACAAGCACACAAGCACACAGGCACACAGGCACACAAGCACACAAGCAATCAAACACAGGCACACAAGCACACAAGCAATCAAACACAAGCACACAAGCACACAAGCACACAAAGCACGCAAGCAAACAAGCACACAAGCGCGCAAGCGCGCAAGCAAGCAAACACAAGCACACAAGCACACAAGCAACCAAGCACACAAGCAAACACGCGAACACACAAACGGACGCCAACACAAACACACACGGACACACAAACACAGACACACACACACACAGACACAGACACACACGCACGCACACACACACACACACCCACCCACCCACCCACCCACCCACGCACGCACGCACGCACGCACGCACTCACGCACGCACGCACGCACACAGACGCGCACACACGCACACACGCACACACGCACACACGCACACCCTGCCTTCGCAAGCACGCACACACAAGCGCACTAGCAAAGCACAAGCACACACACACACACCAAAACTACACACAGAAACACAAAAGCACACAAACACAGCCTAACACACGTGCAAGAACAAACGCACACACACACACAAACACGCACAAAAATCAGAAACACACACAGGCACAACCACGCACAAAATCACAAACACACACACACACACACACCAACAAAGAGACAAAGAGAGACACGCGCACACACGTAAACACAAAGACAAACACAGCAATACACACAAAACACACACACACGACCACAAACACACAACCGCCCAAACACGCAAACACAGGCGAACACACAAACGGAAACCAACGCACGCACACAAACCACACAGACAGCACACACACACAAACCACACACACGCACACGCACAAAACACAAACACAGACGAACGCACACAAACCGACAAACACACGCACACAAAAGCACACACGCAAACCCACACACACACAAACAGACAACACACACACACACACCACAACACAACACAACACAACACAACACAACACCACACAAGACAACACCACACAACACACAACGCACAACACACAACACACAACACACAACACACAACACACAACACACAACACACAACACACAACACAACACGCAACACACACAACACAACACGCAACACGCAACACACAACACACAACACACAACACAACACACAACACACAACACACAACACAAAACACACAACACACAACACACAACACACACACAACACACACACACAACACACACAACACACACAACGCACAACACACACACAAACACACAAACACACACACACACACACACTCACACACACACAACACACACACACGCGTGTCAACACACACACACACACGCACACATGTCAACACATAATCATAAACACGCAAAATAACAGCAACAAGCACATCCACAAACAAAGGCGCACACACACAAACACAGGCACACACACGCAAGCATACACACAAACAAACACACACACACACACAGCAACGCAACACACACACACACACACACGCACACACACAAACACAAGCCCACAAACACACAAACACCCAAACACGCAAACTGGCAAACACGCGAGCACACAAACGAACACCAACACACACACACAACCACACAAACACACACACGCACACAAACACACGCGCACAACAACAACAAGACACACACACCCACCCATCCATCCATGCACGCAGGCACGCATGCACGCACGCACCCGCACACACACACACACTCACTCACTCACTCGCTCACTCACTCACTCACTCACACACACACTCACACACACACACACACACGCGTGTCAACACACACACGCACACATGTCAACACATAAACATAAACACGCAAAATAACAGCAACCAGCACATCCACACACAAAGGCGCACACACACAGACACAGGCACACACACGCAAGCATACACACAGACACACACACACGCACACTCACACCAACGCAACACACTCACACACACACACACGCACACACACAAACACAAGCCCACAAACACACAAACACCCAAACACGCAAACAGGCAAACACGCGAGCACACAAACGAACACCAACACACACACAACCACACAAACACACACGCACCCAAATACACGGACACACACACAAGCACACACAAAAATACACAAGCACATACAAACACACGCGCACAACAACAACAACAACAACAACAACAACAACAAGAACGACAAGAACAACAAGAACAACAAGAACAACAAGAACAACAAGAACAACAAGAACAACAAGAACAACAAGAACAACAAGAACAACAAGAACAACAAGAACAACAAGAACAACAACAAGAACAACAAGAACAACAAGAACAACAAGAACAACAAGAACAACAAGAACAACAAGAACAACAAGAACAACAAGAACAACAAGAACAACAAGAACAACAAGAACAACAAGAACAACAACAACAACAACAACAACAACAACAACAACAACAACAACAACAACAACAACAACAACAACAACAACAACAACAACAACAACAACAACAACAACAACAACAACAACAACAACAACAACAACAACAACAACAACAACAACAACAACAACAACAACAACAACAACAACAACAACAACAACAACAACAACAACAACAACAACAACAACAACAACAACAACAACAACAACAACAACAACAACAACAACAACAACAACAACAACAACAACAACAACAACAACAACAACAACAACAACAACAACAACAACAACAACAACAACAACAACAACAACAACAACAACAACAACAACAACAACAACAACAACAACAACAACAACAACAACAACAACAACAACAACAACAACAACAACAACAACAACAACAACAACAACAACAACAACAACAACAACAACAACAACAACACACAGACACACACACACACACACACCCCTATGCATCCATGCACGCAGGCACGCATGCACGCACGCACTGGCACACACACACACACACCCAATTCGCCGGCCTCCTGAAACATGTGAAAGTAGTCATTTGTTTTTGGAGAGTGGTTAGGGAATTTGTCTACAGTCCACAGTATGTTTTCCAATGTGTGCTGGGTCTGTGGCAGGACCTGTGGTGATCTTATCCTCTTGCTTCCTGCTGGCGTGGGATCTTGGACGCAAGCCATGTGGCAGGACTGGTGAAGGGCTGATCCAATGAGACAGGCTTCCCTCATGAGATACAGGTCGGTCCGGGCGAGCAGTACACAGACAGATGACGATTAGCTGCTGCTTCAGGCGTAAAGATCAAACACAGTACCCGTATCCAGGGTGCGCAAAATCAGTTTGTTCAGTCAAGAGGTAATCAGTTTGGCGTTGTGCCTAGACAGATATAGGTGACAGAAGGATGAATGGATGGGTGGATGGGTGGATGGGTGGATGGGTGGATGGGTGGATGGGTGGATGGATGGATGGGTGGATGGATGGATGGGTGGCTGGATGGATGGGTGGCTGGATGGATGGATGGGTGGACGGATGGCTAGATAGATGTGTACATGTATGTGTGTATACATACATATATATATGTATAATGCAATACGTGTATGAAAGCAGGAAGGAGTACATGCTTTGCGTTTGGCGTCACAATGCAACTGTTGAAAGAGGCAGCCGATACTTGCAGCCACAGTACAAGCATTTTGTGGTGACCTATTTACAACGGTCTCTCACCTGCCCCAACAGTTCAGAGGACTTGGGCTGCCAGCAACAAACGTGGGCTGTGGTTTGCATTTATTAGCTCGGAGTCCCAAGTTCGCAAGCAATCCACGGAAGATCATCCCTGCTGTTTTCATCTCCGGATCTGACGGAAAGCTGGCAAAACCAGAACGGCCCTAGCGCAAGGTAGCGCAAGGGCACAGACAGTGACACACATGCGCTACCCATCGTGTGCCGTCCTCCCAGGTCATCACCCTGCTGATGCCGCAGCCTGAAGCGTCGCGTGCGTCACGGCGCGCGTCACGTGCGGTTTGGGCAAGTCCCAACTCCAATTGGGTGGTTTATGTCACTTTGGTTTACCTTGAACAGCCTCAAACACGGAAAAATGAGCTCCTTCCTTTTGACACCCTGTGTGCCACCGAAAATATCATCGTGCCACGGTCAACACTCCAGGTAACTGTAACGGCCTGGACTTTCCTTGATGTTTCTTTGCTCCGAGAGAATGCCAATTAGTAAGCCGGGGTTGTTCTGCGGAGTTGTACTGTCCACGAGATTCTTGATTATTGCAAGTGTCAAAGATGAACAAACAATTCATGGTCATTGGCAGCAAACTCAAGATTCTTTGCTCGCAGCATCTAGGGAACGCACATTAGACACACATTGCCTCGGAATTTATTAGATTGTAGCCGACTGTGCGCCAAGGGTGCGCTGGCTCAACTACGACTACTTTGGCGTGCTCACGGCGGGAGCCCCAAATCGAGGTCACTTGCAATATCACTGGCAATATCTACGGGGACTCCTCACTGAAGGAACTGGGAGGCTTCCATGCAACTTTTGAACAATGGTCCTCAGTTCCGGAATCAACACAGGAGGCCTTCCATGATGAAGGAGACTCTGTTCAGGGGATTCTTAAAGATGACCTTGACCGCCTGGGGTCTGGTGGTGACTTGCTGAAGCATTTGCTTGTCTAATTTCAGTGTCTATGGTAAGCTCTGGTCAGCACAGGGGCTGGTGCATAGGGTGTATGGTTGCAGCTTGCAATCCAAGGCTTGCTGATTTCACTTGTTGTTTTGGCTATTGATCATCATGCTTTCCACAGTAGTGCCTTCCTTGAATGATCTTGCAAGAGAGAGTCCCCAGAGACACGCTCGAGGCATGCGCTCTGATGTGCCACTTGTGCGTTGATTTTACGCTTCCATCCAGCTGGTCGCAGGGAGGGTCCCGACAGAAGCCCGTAGACCCCCTTAGATTTGTACGGCTTTTGGTTGGGGTTGTGCTCCTGCGGCCTTTTCCAACTGCAAGACCGGCAAGTTGTTGAACTTTAGGGTTCGTCCAACGCACCACGCCACGAAGCCCCTTCTGTTTGCATTCCCCTACAGAGCTACAGCTTTCCTGGCCTTGGACAACTTCTGCCCTTTCAGCATCCTGCTCTTCACGGCTTGCTTCTTTCATGCTTCTTTCCGCCCTTTTTCGCCCACGCAAAAGCTTGGCCCAGGCTGCCAAGTACAGTGCCCAGAAGACTCGGCCCACCTTCCAGAAGACCATGGCCTGGTGCTCAGATGGGACCTGGAGACCAAGCTTGCTTTCCAATGCCTGTTCGGACAAGACGCATGGGCAGAGGTGGCCACTCTTGCCAACAGTCGGCGTGGATCTCTGGAAAACAGGGTCATAGGTTAGATGGCCATGGGTCAAAAGCCCGCACCCCCAGTGAACATCCCAATCCCCACTAAAATAGGTTCTAAAATGGGTGGTGCACCTTCCCCAAAAATCCCATTGGTTTTGACCCACAGCCAGATATTTCGCTTAGGTAGAAATCAGCTGCCACATCTGCCAGAAACCAGACACCTCCGGCTCGATTCAAGATCTCAAGGCTGTGGGCATCACCACGGGGGCGGGCCTCTCAGGTGGCTTTTGCTGCTTGCGGGTGGTGGGAAGGGAGCGTTTGGGGATAGAGGAAAGCAGAGGGGAGGGTTTACAGGGCTCATTCCAGTTCCCATTCCCGGCTGACCAGCAAGTCAAGTTCGCGGCTTTCAATGCAGTTGTGCATGTCCCGTTTCGCAACATTTCAAGGAAAGACCTTACAGTGCATCTTTCAATCGCCCGGACACATATGCCAACAATTGCGCAAGTGAAAGGCTTGAGCGGTGCATCGCGAAAATGCACAGTGGCCTGAGTGGTCAAACCCAATTGGCGACGCCGGTGTTTTGATACACAGCTTGAATGTTCACCTTCCCATCTTTGACCATTCCCATTCTTGTCACGTGACCCAATCTGTGATAGCTTGGCATTTGGATAGAGCTAACAAAGGAAAGCACAGGCAAGCTGCATGCGGAAAGCTGCAGTATGTCGTTTTGTTTGCGAGTTCAAAGTTCTCGCGGTGGAGCATTGTTTCCTTTGTGCAGAGATTCCCTCAAGGGAAAAGGAAGGCGTCATATGTCTGGCAACTCTCCGCTGTGACCGGAGGTTCAGGTGAGTGCAGTCTGCCATTTGGAACCGTTTTAAGAGGCTCCTTTCTCGGAGACAGTGTTGATTGGTGACTCATGGTTACTGCATGCGGAATCTGACAAATGAAACATTACTGTATATAGACTGCACACAGGTGATGGAGACTCGCGTGTCCACGGCTCTGTTTGGCAAAACTCAGGGTCGCCCGAGCAGCCAAACGAGTCTCGGTGAGCTGTTTCCGTGTCGGCCTCCGTGGCCAGAGCGTTAGAAACTGACCGGCAGTAGCGGGTCCCCGTGGTGAGATTCTCTGAACTTCAAACTTTAGGCTCCTTGAACAGGGTTCCTTTCATCCCCCTTTGTGTTGGTTTGAGTCACTAGTGTGAGTGTCTTTTTCTGGGGAACATGTAGAGACAAGTATAGGGAACCCCGTTGGGTCGTGAAAGGGGAAACTAGGAGCCTGTCACAAGTGGTGACATGCTCCGTTCAAGAGCTTCGGGCAGTACTCTCTGCGCTGATGACCTTGAGGTGCAGAGTCTCATCTTTATAGGCATGCAGTGTGCGGGCGCCAAGATGCATCAGCTTCTCACCCTTGCGCAGGATATCAGCCAACGGCACTATGTTTGCGGAGCTGGGCAAGCTCGTGTTGAACTTGCTTCGAGAGATGCTCGACATGCCACGGCATGGGAACAATCACGGATGCTTTTCCTGATTTACAAGTGCATCTCAACAAGCGGTGGGTCCCACAACCATGCTTATGAGCACCCTCTAGCTGGCACTTAGGACTTTCCATCTTCCGAACTGCAGTTGGTGCACCGCCTTTCCGTCCTTCAACAATCCCCCACGAATTCTCAATGGTAAGTCATCCCCCTTCACATGGCATTGGGGGAGGGGGGATTTGGTGACCCCTGGAGATCTCTATAGGGAGTCAGCGCCGGCTGGTGAAAGGCCTGATGTTAGTCTGCACCCGGGCCCTGACCTTGGTGGAGATTGATCCCTTCAAGGCGGGTCCCCGCTCTCACCACAAACGCGCTGGCGCAGTGGGGTGGGGGAGTGGCGGGGGGGGGGGCAAGTCAATGCAGCCACTTGTGACATACTCGGGACAAGTTAGGGGTCGTCAGAGGATACAAGTAGGGGTAGAGCTTGCTTTATGTTGCTGCTATCACCAAAGATTCCCACTCCAGGCACAGGTGACTCTTGATTTGTCGGCAACTATCAAAAGTTGACCAGCAATCTGCCTGATGTTGGCTTGGCACACACGAGAGGTGGAGCTTCACTGTCTCATTTAGAATGACAACGATGATTTGCGTTGTGTGTGTGTGTGCGCATGCTTGTTTGTGCGGCTTCGAAGCGGCACTGCTGTTTTCTGGTCTTCTGATTGAACCGTTTCTTAGCGGTTGGAACACATGTCTTTGTCTTGCTGGGTTTCGGCCATGGCGGAACGTGGGGTAGGGCGCGAAGAATGGAGGCTCAAAGGGGTACCCGAGCAAAACACCAGGTCACCGAAAAGAAGGCTTCGCTACAGAGCTCAGTCTCATGTCTGATGTGCCCACGTCCAGGAGAGCAAGGGCTGGACCTGTCCTTACAAGGTCAGCCGGAGAGTACGAGGGAGAGGGAGGGAGTGCGCGCGCAAATTGCACGCTCCGCTTTGTAGAGTACCTTGACCCAAGCAAGATCGGCGCACCCAATGGGTTGGATATATTTTGGCGAAGACGTGCTTGGGCCGTTCAGAACTTTCGCGAAAACCTGCTCACACCAAAGGCTGAAGGGACTAGTTCGGCTGAAGGGACTAGTTCCTGGCTATGCCTGCACCTTTGGTCGTTGGCTCGCAGTCGTGGAGCAGAATGACACCTTGGCAATAGCTCATCATGCATTCCCAGCCAGCAACTCCATCTAGTTTCTTTCCCGGAAGAAAGGCTTTCACGATGGCATAATTTCGGGTCCTCTTGAAGTCCGGGAGTTCTACGCATCCCTTACAGTTGCCAAGCCACAGCCGTTCTTGATAGGCAAGCGAGGCATGCAAACTTAGGGGGAGACTGTCGGGGTCAGGCAGGATCCTTGGATGTTGGCATGCCGCACCGGGGAGGACGATTACATCTCCGTGCTCACGGGACGGATGTTCCTCTCGGCTATGGCCGCGCACTCAGACCGCATGGATTCGTAGACCACCGCTTTAGAAGCGCGGCAGGGAAATGTCATGATAGGGAAATTGTGGTTATTGCTTGCTTTGATGTGTTACTAGAGGAAAACGTGGCAAGCGTCTCTTGATTTGATGGGAACAATCAAGATTGGATGATTGAGCAGGCAGATGCATACGTGCATAGTTTTTGGTGGAATTCCAGATTCGATGGATTGAATTAGTTGTTGCCAATGGCTGAGATTTCAACACACCAACTCAGCATCATGATGACAGACATTGGACGCATTTGGGGCGGTTCGTGCAGCGGGCAAGGCCTTGGTCACTCTCATCATCACCTTCCTGTGCGCAAACGGGCCCTGGGCTTGGGTGGGTATCTCCCAGGGCGGCTGGACGGCTGGGTGTCAGATGAGCTTCCGTGTCCTGCCATTGCCTTTGCTTGAAGGTGGGCAATAATTTGATTTCTTTCAAAACTTTTGGTCCCTTGTTGGGGCGAACAAAAGGCAAGCATGGTCCCTGTGTTCTGACCAACAATATGGTTTGGCGCACCTCATCTTCCAAGTTGGCTTTAGCTTGTGGAAGCCCTGGTGGCACAAATACGTGGTAACCAATGGTACGCTGTTTTGACAGTGGCCTGCAAGGTCACGTTGTGTGGCTTTTCGTTGAAGCTCGCAAGTTGATCCATCAAGCAACTTTACTGGCGTGCTGTTAGGCAGGCTGGCAGTCTGGCAGAGAGCCAAGCCTAGCTGATGTGTGGCTGCAAAGCCTCGGAGTTGCAACGGATTCTCGAGGCCATCTCAGGAGATCACTGCAACATGATTGAAGGGACGCAGCAACAGTGTATCAGGATCGTTGCCTTCTCAGTTCTTGATCTATGATACTTACATATTTTGGCAAGAATCCGATCATGTCCTCATTGGCATCCAATCATCTAGCTAAATCACTTGGCCTGCAGGATTCGTTCGAATCAATTGGAGCAAAGCAACCCCCAGGCACTTCATGGGTCAAGAGTACATCGTCCGAGATTTCAGCGCCGAGCTCAGGAATCCTTGAAATGTTTGCTGCGTTGAAGAATCTGATGTGAAGTTTGATATTTGGCACACCGAGCGGGTGAAGGGCGCTTCGGGCTCCTTTTGGGGCTCCCATTAGGGTGCTCTCTAAGTGAGGGACGCAGATCTTCATGAGGGTTCAGGACTGACATTAGACTGGCAACTGCACATCCGGAGGAACCTTGGGCAAGACTTTCATGAGTTTGTGTTGCAGTCTTTCGGATCTTATGAGTGGCTTGAATCGCATTTATCAGTTGAGCCGTGCGGCTGAGGGTTGCTATTTTCATTTTAACTCTTGGCAGGTTAAACAGCCGGCATATGGGCAGCCGGCGTTGCCAGGGTCGCATTGTTTCAGTCGGGGCAACAGTATTGGATGCACCTCTTCTCTTTCTGCTGAACAGCCGTCACAGTTGGCACTTGGGTGATGAATTGTTTGGTTCTACAAACAGATGAGTTCAAGATCGCTTGCAAGAGAACGCAGCCAGTAAAGCAGAGTACCAGGTTTTGCGCGTGCAACTAGCGTATGCTGCCGGCCTCTTTCTGCCTCGCGTGGTGGTTGAGGCAAAAAGGTGGGCATGGATCTGAACAAGTTGGATCCGGACAATGAGCAGGGCGCTGAGTTGTCGGCCGCTAGGGAGCAGCAGTAGCCTTTTCTAGCAGGAGCTCTTCATGCATTGAGTAGAACTAACGGCAGGCTTGGAAAGATTGAGCAGCAGCTCCTACCTGTGAAGATTGGTTCGGGGCAGGGCTCGATCTCTATTGGGTGCATTGCAGATCAACCTGTTTCTTTGGCGCTTGCTATTGAGATGAATTTGCCCACTGATGGGAACCTGCGATGGCGAGTGATTCTATCACCGGCACGCACTACTTGCAGCAAACAACACATAATGTTAAGTTAATTTAGTTTTAGAAGTCAGCTCGTTGCCCGAGCATTGGCATCGTCAAGCAGAAGCAGTTGAGTCGAAACCTCCTACACACCTGGGTTGGATGTCTTAGCTGAGGATGTAGGCGAGAATGAGCTACACCCCCAAAGACCGGCCTCCACAAGATCGGCTACCTGTGGAAGCAGAGCGAAGTCACCTGAAGTTACTTTTCTGTTTATGCCGCAAGGGTGGCATATTTTTTTTAAAGCGCCTTTAAAGGGCCCCTCACCAAATGATCATACAACTGACAGGCAAGGACATCTTCATGACATTCGGCTGGTTGCTCCGTGACGCACTCAACGAGTACTTGAGGTCCTTTCCATGTAGCTTAGCTTGCTTTTAGGCGGCTTGCTGTTGCTTCTTCATGTTGTAGCGGTCAATGCTCCCACTGTCAGAGTTGCAAAGTCGACTGTACGTGCCGTTCAGGGCGGATGGGGGTAGCAGCTTCATCCGAGTGCAACAAGGCGGGATTCAGACTGGCGGTTGGCTTTCAGCCAGGCCTATGGAGCATCCCAGTCCGGCCAGACCCCACTTTCCGATGAGGCAATTTTTGGATCGACGTAGCCAGTGGCGGTTTGGCTAGCTGTTTACACCAGCAAGTGCATCATGATTGGTCCACCTTGTACGTCTTAAAAACTACTGTATGTTTTAGTGCAGCAGGATTTTGACAGTTTCACCGACTTTGCTCCTGGCAGAACATGGTTCCTTGCAGAACATGGTTAGTTTATACAGTGAGATGTAGGACGATGGGGAAAGCAGCAGCTGGCTGTTGAATGCAGTAAGAAGAACGATTCTCCACGAGGAAGCTTCATGCCAGCATGGCTTAAATGGGTCCGCTTGCAGGCTGAGCTAAGATCGGAACAGCCGTACGCTCCTCATTCTCTTGTTGTGCCGGACAACATGGGACATCGACAGCAGGGTGAGAAGAAACAGCCCAACGCGGCCACGCATCGTGATCACCATGTCTTCGCAAAGCAACAGGTGGCCCCAGGTTGGGGAGCGCCAGTCATGCGTTCCCCAGGGTCAACAGGCGCCGCAGGCCTCACTCCGAGCTTACACGGCTCCGTGTGCTTCCACAGATCCCAGTCCTTCCACGGAGCTTTCTAGATGTGGTGTTCGCCGTCCAGAACAGCTCCTCATTCTATGATGCAAGGCAGCCGTTTGAAGGAGGCATGGCCCATGGCCATCACTTGTATTGGATCTCTGACCATCCCGGGCCTTTTGCCGATTGCATGGAGTGTAAGGGAGCCCCTGGATGTGGCTGGCCAATGGTTCAGCCGGTCTTGACGCGCTTGATTTTGAGCTGGTTGAATTTGGGCTTGGCAAAGCGCAGATTTTGGGGCTTTGCGTTGGTGATCCACCCCAAATCCAGCCTTGCTTTGGACCAGGCTTCTCATCCCTGCGCTTGTTGGAATGGATTTGTCTACATGCACTGGTAGCTTGGGTTTTGTTCTTGGTTCGCTTCACATTTTGGCAGGCGGATGGTGTTTCATGCGGCATGAATGTTTGTGATGGCTCGATACAAGTGACATAACATCAAGTTTGGCACATTCTTACGGCTCGAATGGGATGACTGTTCAACTTGAATGTTTCCATCCCGACTACTTCAACTTCCACTTTATGTTCTCAAGTTGTTTTTTGCCAAATGATTTTGTGTCGCTGTCTTAGGCAACGGCCTTGGTGTCTTCTCCTGTCTTAAATGTTCTTGCGTTGATGCCAAGACGGTTAAGCCCCCAGCTGCAAACTCCGGCTGCTGCCCTGCCCTGACCGAAAACCCTCGCGCGTCGCTTGCGCAGTCTTCAGCATGATCCCCACGACCTTCGGAATTTGGATTGATGGATGGAACGTGAAGGCGTGAATGGGAAGCGGAGGGAAGGTCAAGCTGTTTGCCCCACTCTGTTACGTGCATTGCAAAGGGCATGCTGTTCGTTGGTCATGCTGCCTGGTTTTCTTTGGGTGGCGCACAAAGGCATGGTTTTCGCCTTCTGCATCAAGGCTCCGCAGGATTGTACATCCAAAAGGCTGTTGGACGAAAGGGTCAGTTTCCATGTTTCGCTGACGGGGCCTTTTTGTTCATCGAATGTGGAATGAGACGCGAGTGTTAGTCCATACTTTCCGACAGCTGTCCAGGCCCCGCCTCCTAAAACGGGCATTTGTTGCTGTGGATGGAGAACTCCCACCGAACTTTGGGTCAGACGGTTTCGGGGAATTTTAGCACAAGCTTCATGCAGAACAGGGGTGCTAGATTTTAGGGCTAAAAGGATCAATCAGGCTAGGCGTGGGCCGGATCATCCGGACCTGCCAAGCGCCGAAGCGTGCGCAGGGGCTTCTGCTACAGGAGCGGGCCGAGACCTACGCCGAGGCGGGGATCTGGCCGGGGGATTCAGATCTTTTTCTCTGGGCGCCAGGAACTGGAGTCCTTTGGTTTGGGCCAGGGGCCACAGTGACAAACCAATGGTGCGCACCTTGATTTGTCAGCTCGTTTCTAGCAGATGGCATTGGGCCTTGGGTCAGGACCAGAAAACTCGGAGTGTACATTTGGAGGGTTAGGATTATGGCGAAGCGACAGAGATTTCATGTGGATGAGGATCAGCCTGCTGTTGCACCCCCCCCTATCTGGCTTGATGTCCCACGCACAAGCCCCAGACCGCTAAGGCTGCTCTCCAGGCCCATGGACCTTGTTGAAGCGAGCAGCCGATACATGAGTTACAGACAGCGGCAGCATGTCTGCGTTCACGCCTGGCAGCCTGCTCAAGCCCTCTATGCACTTGACCAGGAGCTCCGCATCCCGACCATTTGCAGGAGCCTGAGGGCTCCCTGGGAAGAGGAAAGTTGCTCTCGCCTTGTCCGGCAACCTGACTCGGCAAGCTCAACTGACACGATTCATGGCTCGTCTAGAAGTACATTCTATGTTTGATGAATGAGCTACAGTATCGGTTTAACTCAGGGTCACAAGCATTGCTGCTGAACATGTAGTATGAGTACCTTGTCCAAGCATCAGCGCGGTCAGCTCTTGGAGTTGAGCTCCTGGGCAACTGATAGTGCTTGAGCACGCCGTGCAAAGGATGAACACCGTGTGTCTATGTGAAACTGTACAGCTTGTTCTCATGGCTTGGCCGAAATCGGGGGGTAACTAATGCAGCTTTCGGTTCAATGGATCATGATTTTGCAGTGTTTTTTTCGGCAGGCTGGCTGGCCTGCAGTGAATATCACAGCAAAAGCTCAAGCCCTTGGGTGAATTGCGACTGCGTTTCTCCTGAACACTGCCAAGAAAAGGCGAATCTCATTTTGCCCAGTCCGATAAGGCAAAGTGATTCCCTACTGCAAAAAGGGGATTCCAGACCTGGAAGCCGAGTTTCTGCTCCGGTTGTGCGACGTGGTTCACTTGCCTCACTAGCCGCGTCGCAATGGCCCATTGGCGCTAAGGCGAAGATTGTGGCAAGCCACACGTGCCATATCTGGAGCTGATGAAGGCTTCAGGCTGGTTGATCAACCTGAATGAGGTTTCGATTTTTTTGATTGTTCCATGCGTGACTCAGCCCCCTCTGGCCAAATTGCTTTGAGAGGTTTCTCGGTCGCATGTCCAGGCCGGCAGCTCAGCCTGGCATACCAGATCTTCCCCTTCGGCGCTGTCATCGGCAAGGCGGGGGCCGAGCTTTGCGGCGTGTCTTGAGGTTGGCAAAGGCGAGCCGAGAATTCGAAAGCAAAACACACACGCAGACTGTCCAAAGGGACACCGAGGAGTGCTACATGACGCCTCCAATGATTGCAGAACAACACAGCCTCAATCAGACACGTCCAGTGGAGGGTCCAGCTGCGATCGAAATGCATTTCGATGCCTGAACACCAGCTCGATGGGTGATCAATCCTTGTCTCTTGCGTCTTTGGAGAACTGGGACAAACAAGTAAATATGTGCTCTTCACAATCGGTTTTGAGGGCCGGACAACATCACTTGGCAAGCGACCGAGCTCACCACTTGTCAACAGCCGATACGCAGGGATTACTGTGGAGGCCAACAGACATCAACAGCATTGTGCCACCGATTCCTGGAAACTCTTGTGTTTGCTTACGGAATCTTGCGGGCAAATGCAGGGCTGCAGTTGTTGGGGTGTTTTGTAAACATGGCTTTAGCACTTCTTTGGTGCCCTGTGAGCCAAACTGCGGCGGCAGGGCGTGTTGCACTTTGAGGCAAGGCTGCCGAGCATTTCCGCACCGGCCGGAGCCGGGCACTCCGAATAGGTGCGGCTCAAAACCCATCATGTATGGCCAAAAAGGGGCCCGCGGCCACACTTTGCGGCTATCTCGTAGACAAGTGATGAGCTAAGGATGACGGCTTCAGCCCCCGATGCTGGGCGTGAGATAGCAACCGTCCAGCTTGGCGCATTGCCTGCACTCTGAAAAGCAATGAGCAAGCAGCATTCGCGTCGCACTTGCCTGAAGTTTTCCCAGCGACCAAGCAGGTTCTGAGCTTCCGGGTGAATGCAATCCAAAGCTTAACTTCGGCCAGGCCTGCGAACGCTTCAACAATCCGCCGCTGCTCTACTGGGGCTCCACCCTGAAGCGGCTCTGGCGAATCTGGGGCCTTTGACTTTTTCACGAGGGGATTTGATGGGACGGCGCAGAGCAGGTCAGGTTTGCGCATTGCGATCGCAAACTTTTGAGCCACTAGTTGGGGACCTTGTGCTTGGGAGTTCAAAGAAATCCTTGGCTGATTGCAGAGTTGGGAGGATTGGCTTCCTTTCCTTCGTAGCGCAAACTTGGGACAGGACATGGGATCCCAGAATATGTCATACGACCATTTACTGAATGTGGCTGGCACGCACGCCGAGTTTGCTTGGCAGGGAAGCCGGAGTTTCGTACATCCGCACTCAGAAGCAGAAACAAACAAAGAGCTTCCAGAACTCCATCTCAGCTCGGCATGGTTGCTCTGGATTTAGAGAAAAAAGGACCTTTTGTAAAGCATGGGATTACAGTCCAAGTTCAATGAGCAAGACGCTTCGTTTGATCCTGTTGGGGCTGCCAGGTGTCTGAATGCCTCCCCTCACATCACCAGCGTCCGGGGCATGCAGGGCCGGAAGATGTCTGCGGGCCAGGCGGGCAAGCCAAGGACAGTTTGGACTGGCAAGGTGCCAGTGGGGCTGTCTCTCTTGTCTGGAACCGGAAAGATCCAGGTTCCGCTGGAACTATAACCTTGATCAATGATTCTTCAGGCTGCTGGATGGACCTGCATCTGGAGTGTGAAAGGACCCCAGTAGTTCTTGCACCAGGATGGGCGCATTCCTGATTCACAAGCTGGGTTGATAGTTCTGGACACCTTGAACCAGCCCTTCGGCTCGTCACTTTCCCGAATCATGGAAGGCGTCTTTGAGAGTTGCCCGGGTCTGTGCAGGCAGCCAAGTTCCGCACGCAGATGTTCATGGCTCAGATGAAGGCGGCGACACGTGCTGCGCAACCTGCCTCGATATTGAGCCCCCAAATACGAAGCACCCAAAGGTGACCCACGATCAAGCACAGGTTCTTTTGGACTGCACCAAAAGGGATGATGCCCATGAAGCAGATTGGCCTGGATTTCACATGCAAGATTGGTGGGAGTGGGTAGGAATCTGGTGGCTCTTGTTGACGCTGTGACAAAAGACAAAACAGATCCAGCGGCTGCACAGCGCCTTTTGGGTACTTTGGTTGATCATAAAGCTTTAGAATTTGCTGAAAGTGTAGATGGCTTGACGTTTTGAAGGGTTGTCATGTAGGGCACTGAGGTTTGGAAATTTACTTGGGATGACTTGGAATGGTACAGGGTGCCAGGTCCATGTTCGCGGACCCTGGAAAGCCTTCAGGTTGCCGGCAAGACCTCCAGACGGAGCGAGACTGTCAATATAACAAGACGCATTTGTCAGAAGGACAAGTTGGATTTACAGAACACTAGGACAATCACGACTAAAGGACACCTGGCAGGCGGCAGAAGCATCAGTTTTTTTTGATGGTGGCATGTCTCCTCCCTCATTGCACTTTGTAGCATCAATTTGATGCCCAATTGACATTGTCAGTTTTATCATGTGCCTTCAGGTGGACCACCAAGGGAATCTGCCTGTTCCTGAAAGCGGCCTCATCCCTTTCTCTACTTGGCCTTTGCATGGGTGCTACACACAGTGTGGCAACAGGCCAAGAGACTTCGGCCAAAGGGTCAAGTGTTTGCAGTCAATTGTGAGCCCTGAGCTGTTTGGAGTTCTGCCACATGGAACAGTACTCAACTCTAGGGCTGTCATCACAAACGCCCGTTGAACTTTGCCTAGGTCGCATTGGTGTCGATGTCCTTCCCTTTTCCTAGGCGACACTTGACCCATGAGAGGCAGAAATATCGTTTGGCTTGAGTGCTGACAATACGTGCTGAATTGTTTTAATCAGTTTGCTGCCAGGCGTTTGGTAGACATGTTCAACCAGTCCCATGGTTTTGCACTGACAATACGTGTTGATTTTTTAAAGCCAGTCCCACGGTGCACCCTTTGAATTTCCTTCACCAGTCGGATGGACATGCACCGAAGCACTCGCTTCAAGCCATCCTTTTGGCTTCGGAAGGACCGCGGCCTGCCTCTCCTTCAGCGGATCGCGGCGGTGAGCATGTGCGCCATTCTGTGCTTCGCGGTCTCGTGAGGCGCAGGTCCAGGCTCGAAAGTCAAAGCAGGAACCACGGGGAAGTTGTTGGTAGTACTTGTTGTCGTTGCTAGTGTCGGTTGTTGCTGAAGTATGGCAAAAGTTGTTTGAGAACATGTTGAATTTGGCTACGAACTACTGTTGCTTGCGAATCTGTAGCCTAGTAGCAGGTCCTTATTGGATCAGGGAGTTTCAGGAGCTGCGAGCATGTCTCAGAGACATGTTCCCAATTGTTTGGCTTTGCTGGAACCAACCGTCAGACATGATTCGGACTGTCCTTGGCTTGAAACCGAATGCCTGGGTGTTTGAAGGAAGGGATCATGTTGTGAACGGCATGCTCGGTTCCCAGCGGCCTGCAACGTGTGGTGCAATTGTTTTGTGAACTCATGCACCTATAACGAGTGCCCCGATTTCTAAAGCCACATCTGAGCACCCCGACTTGGATGATGTGCCGTTCTAGCAAAGCCTGTTGCGTCTTTGACGAGGTACTTTACGCTCATCTGGTTCACTGTCATGCTGACCGAGGACAATGTCCGCGCCCACAGCAACGCAACAATGCATTGTCAAAGAGAGGTTGTGTTGAGGAGTTGCTGGTGACATTGCAGTTTGCAGACTCTTGCGGAGCCAATTTGCTGGTCATGCTTGCTTTTATCTTGGCACACAGTTGGTTCCCTCCTTCATGAAAACAGACCATGGTTTGGAAGTAGCTGTTGGAAAATAAGATGCAGATCAGGCATTTTCTGGTCCAATTTCAGCCCTTGAGCTTTACTTTCATATTCATGTACGTACTGGTATCTAATCTTACAGATAGATCATCACGAAAGCTAGCTTTAGCTAGCTGAAGTTTCTCCTTGCGTAAGCAAGGTAAGGGGCTCGAATGCCGAAAGATTGATTTTTTCAATTATTTGAGCCAAAAAGATTGAAAAACATCAATTATTTAGACCCCCCCCCCTCCCCCCCCCCCCCGGGTCTCAGGCTCGATTCCTCCCTGGTCCATCCCCCCCCCCCGGGCAGTGGCTCAGTGTTCAGCAGTCTCGGTTTGCCCGTTTTGGACTTGGTGCTACGAACTTTTACATGTTCCACCGATTCAGCTTGTTCATTTGAGACCTCAGTCTTCTCGGTAAACACCTCGCAAGAATCTTGGCACACGCTGCATGCAGAACCCAGAGGTGCTTTAAGACAGCTTCTGACGCCTCTCGTTGTTTTCATTTTTCAAGGTTTGCCACGCCACCATGTGCGTTTGCGTGTCGCATCCTACGAATCTTGCCGGGCCTCTCGTTGTGCACAAGCTACCTATGAATCCACTCTGTCACCGACCCATCTCATGCAACACCTGCTAGCTTTCGTTCACCCGCTCCTCAAGTACATGTGTCCTAGATATCTAGATTGACATTGTATTTTATTACAAGTCAACATGCAGGTACTATGATATTATGTCAACGATAGCTCGCTCACGCTACCCGATGTCACAGACGGGTCTTTGCTTGACTGATGCATGATGCTTTCCCAGCGAATCATTTCCAAGGTATTTGTTGCTTGTGTCGCCGGTTCCATGTGTCCCCTCTCTCCAACAGCCTCAGCAGGTGGCGGAGATGGGGGTGCAGATGTTCCAGATCATCACCGCCGTGGCCTTCTCGAAGGCGGGAGACGAGACAACTTGGCTGGCGCTTTTTCGGGATGAGACTCTCTAGCCGCCTAAGACGCCAGGGGGAACACCTCCACGCTGGGAGCCAACTTCTTTCACTTCCCTGCTTTGAGTTGTCAGTCGTCAGCTTGGGACTGGCAACTCGAGGGCAAATCTCGAGTTGAGCACGCCGAATCGCTCCGGCCGTCCAAGATTGGGCATGTTGCGTAAGCCATCCTACAGCATAGCTGCGGGTAGGATCACGCGTGTTTCCTTCGTGGCACCGCATCTTAACAGTTGGCCTCAATTGCGATATTCTGGGAATCAAACACATGTCGGGCACCGTTGACAAAAGAGACTGCATGGGTAGACGCGCCACATGACAAACCAGGATTCACCCTGCCAGGCAGTTTGTGAGGTTCTCCTGCCAGTGTTGTGCCGCAGCCTCAGCCTGCTTGTGTTTGGGTTTGCATGCAGGCTGGAATCAACATGAGGTTGTCAAACTTCTGGACCCCTTTTGCTCAAAGTGCCTAAGGACAATCTCCGAGCGGTTCCAGCATTTGATGGAACGAGGGGTAAATGCCTGTTGCGGTGATCGTGCTTACTGTTTGTCAGGGAAGCCCTGCGAGTAATCTAGTTACGCACCCTTATTTTGAAATTTCCGTCCGGGTGGGAAAGAAATGAACAAGTTGTAACTGTTTTGATGGATTCAACTTTAGGGGACTTGCTTGCCCTCCATGCGTGGTCTAAATTTTAAACTACCCAAACAATCCTTTCACAAGCCACGCCGACGTGAGTCGCCAACACCTGCTCATTGCGTGGATCTCGGACTTTAGGTATCGCGGTGGTGGGCGCGCTGGTTGTGGCCGCGAGAGCCTCTGCTCTGGGGAGGGCGTGCAGCGTCGTTGCATGTTCTGATGCAAAAGCATGACTCATGTCGATGTGGTCAAGTTGCTGCGAACCCAGTTACCCAAATCGCGAGAAGTGCAGGTTGGGTCTTTGCGCTAGTATCTACCAATGAGCAGGTCATCTAAGCCATCCTGATGTGTTGGTTGCAGCCTTTTGGAGGTGAAGCATTCTCGAATACTCATCAGCAGGAGTCAGGGAGCCCAATTCCCAAAAGACGACTGCACTTCATCTTTAGATGCCAATCACAAATCCATGGAGAAGCATTCCTGGAGCCTCTGCGAAGTGAAGGATGTGCTGGAGATTGGCCTGCGGTTCATGGAGCGGTAGGTTGCCCGTTTGGTTCCTCCGTCCACTCGGAGGATGTTTGTATCTTTCCACCTGTTGATATTTGATTGCAAGCTAGTTCTGGATGTTGTCGAGCAACCTTCCATCAATGAGCACTTTGGTTCAATACACAATATACTTGTCAAGACTGGGGCTGTGTCTCAGTTCAGCTGCTGCTCCTCAGCGGCTAATCACATGCGTTTTTTGACCGGAAAACCAGAGGCATTTTTGGGTTCTCCTTTTGCCCGGGTCTCCGAGAGCCACAGACGGGGATCAGAACCCCGCTGCTCCCGCTGCCCAGTCCGGAGCTGCCGCGAAGAAGGCGGCGAAGCAGGCGTGGCGCTTGTCGTAGGCGTGTGGGTGGTGCGGTCTGTTTCCAAGCCAAGTCTTCGGACGCGCCGTGGCAACGACTTGAGGCTCCAGGAGGCTGAGGGTTTGCTCAGGCGAATGGTCGGGACCTCTTCGAGTCTTCGGCATCGAACGGCACAGTGAATCAGCCGCACTTGGCATCGGGTCTGCAAAGGGGTTCCTCGCTCTTTTTTTTTCAAGGCTCTGCAGCTCCCCCGATATTGTTTGGTTCCGGCTGTGGGATGAGCAGCTTCGGGCGTCCATTGCAGCGAACACATTCTGCAGGTGGTGGAGCCCTACCGTATCTCCCCAGTGGTGGGCCAGCAGGGCACCCAAAGAATTGCTGGGTGGTCTGCAGCGATCGCACCCTGATGTCTTGGGGGTTGCTCCTGATGGTTGCGGGGTGCTCTTGGCCTGTGTGCTTGAGCAAAAGGCTGCTCGAACCTTGTTTTCCTGGCTCTTTGCTGCCCTGCGTTCTGCGATTTCTGCACAGTACAAGCTGGAGAGCTGGATCTGCCAGGTGTTTACCTCAGGATCTGTGGCAGGTGAGGTGCCCATGCGCTGTAGTATGATATAGCAGGATCTAGCCCTCCCAAAGCTGCCGACGAGGAAGCCTGCAATCGCTCCTTTCATCTTTGGCCAAGGAGGTTGTGTGGTAAGTGGCCCGCACGGAATATGCATTTAGCGGCTGTCATGTATTTAGCCATGAGGCATAAGCAGAACCAACAGCAAAGACCGTGTTGGCATCAAACCACGATGTGCAGTGTGGCTTTTCGGACTGGATGCTTTTGCCATCTGTCCGAGCCACCCAATTCACCACTCCATCCCGCTGAACGCCACGGAGCCAATGCGAACTTGCAGAGCTACTGAGCTACTGAGCATGCAGGCATCAAACACGCATGAATCTTTTCGTATTCTAAGTTCTAAAGCAGCACAACCACGAGCCCCCCCCCCCCCGCGCGTCGAACGCCCGGGCACGCTGAGGGTTCTGCATGGCGTCAGCATGGGCTTTGCCTTTGGACTCTTCCTGTACGAGGCAGGGTCCTGGCGATAGGTGAGTGTCATGTTTTTGGCCCAGGGAATCATGCTTGTGTTTTGTTGTAGATGATCTCCTTGTGCCAGTTGAGATTTTGCTGATGAAGGGGCGCGATAGTTGGATGGAAACTATCTGGCATCAGCTCACCGCACAAACACACAAACACAACACACACACACACAAGCACACAAACACACAAACACACAGTTGCACACAACCAAACAATCAAACAATCAATGAAGCAACCCAAACAGCCAAGCAACCAAACAAGCAAGCAACGAAAGAAAGAAAGAAAGACAGAAAGGAAGAAAGAAAGACAGAAGTAACAGAAGGGAAGGACAGAAAGAAAGAAAGAAAGAAAGAAAGAAAGAAAGACAGAAATAACAGAAGGGAAGGACAGAAAGAAAGGAAGGAAGGAAGGAAGAAAGGAAGGAAGGAAGGAAGGAAGGAAGGAAGGAACAAGCAAACAACCAACCACACAAATACACACATATGCACCCATACACATGTGCGCACAAACACAAACACACACGCACACATGCCCACACACACACACACCCACCGTCCGGAGAAGGCGTTCCTGATTTTACTACTTGAGTGTTTAGCTAGATGCCAAGGTTTCAGGCCGATTACTTGTTTCAGAGTGAAGCGTCAAGGTTTCAGAGGCCGGAGTGGCCAGGCCTCAAACGCCGCCCCCAACAGCAACCCTGCAGAAACGGTTGATGCAGAGACAAATCCAAGTGGGAGTCGTCCAAAAAGGTCCTTGTATTCGGGAAAGAAGCGGCCGTTTTGTCTTAGTCTAAATGTTGCCCTGCGCGAAGGCTTCGCGATGGAGTGTGTTTGTGTGTGTGTGTGTGTTTTTTTTTTTGTGTGTGTGTGGGTCGCGAAAGTTTGTTGGCTTCTCGCGAAAGTTTGTGCAGGGGTGGCTTGCCAAAAGGAAGATGGAATGATGAACGACTAAAGTTGGTGGGAGGAAAGCGTGTCCTGAGGATTGCAGCAAGACTACATTGCTGCAAAAGCAACCCCCCAGCAGAAAGCTGCTTGTTGGTTTCAACGAAAGTCGATGGACCTCCTCGCCATTCCGGACACGGGTTGCCAACGGGTCCTCGAAAGCTGGGGCTTCGAAAGCTGGGGCTGCGAAAGCGCACTTCGACTTTGGAACTGACAAAAAATCGACTTTCGAGCTGGGGCTGCAGACGTTTACTTTGCGTACTGCTTTCGTACTGAAAAGTTGTGACTTGCGAGCCGGGGCTGCGGAAGTACTACTTGTTGGATGAATGTTGTGAACATAGCCCCACAAAAGCTCCGTGATGAAGGTCGCGAGAGTTCCCTTTTTCCACGAAGATGGCGTTTCCGGATGTTTCGCGGAACAAGGAATTTGAAGCAACCGCCAGGGAATTTCATGAGTTTACCCTTGTCAACTGTTTACCCAGAGATTTGGAACAACCCTGACCATGGCATCACAAGGCGTATAAAGCAAAAGGGGCATTCTGTGCAAGCAGGCAATTCGCCAAGGCACCAGGGGACTTCCATCAACGTCCACGTGTCCAAATCGGGGTATGCGTTGACCGAAATGGATTCGCAAGTTTACAACTACAAAAGCACACATGTTCTTCAACTCCCTCAACTTGGTGCCTCTCTGCCACTCACTCACTTGCTGGCTGGAGCAATTGCCAGCTGAAAAGCAACCCCAAAGGCTTAATTATCGTGGATTGCTTGATTGCTTCACGCCCCTCTTATCAAGGGTATTGCTTCTCTTTGGTTCGCGTCAGCAGCGAAGCATGATCCAAGTTCCATGGCTTCAGAACCACCCCCCGCGTCCGAACCCGCTTACTTGCCACCCTCTCTCTCCCGCACATCTCGAAAACCATCCTGGAACAGTGGCAACCCAAGCCTGCGCAGTGTTATGAATCTAATCCTTGTTGGTCCAACGGAAGCCAGCCGGGACCTACACAGCTTTCCCGAGCCTCTCCAAAGCCAGGCAGCCATGTTCATGCTGCAATGCACTGCGAAACCAGACCGCCGAGCATCAAGCTGATGCTCTCATTTGGCTGTGAGTTTTAGTAGGGAACCACTCAAGAGTCGGTGGTGGACGTGAATCCCAACCCTCCATGATGCCCACCAAAGTAATTCAATTTCATTCCGATTTCTCTCCAAGTGTTAGGATTTTGTGGCCGGGATGCTCCAGGATCAGCTGGGGCTTACCCAGGGCCTGGCGGGGACCCCTTCCGCGGGGGGGTTGGGTCCGGGATTTGGAGGGCACGTCTCAATTTGGGTCTACTTCCTTGGTGTTGGAGCAAACTTTGAGCTTCTGCCGGCTTGTAGCTGCTTGAATGCCACAGACGGTCTCAGCCTTTGGAGAGGTATTTTGATTTTGGGATGGGCCAGAAAAGTGTCCATATGACCGAGCCAACGTGTTTGTTTGCACTGCTGCAGCTATTCCTGTGACAGTGAGTGCTTTTAGACGCATTCACAAGCATTTCCACCACTGGGCACTGCGCAACTGCACGCTTCGGTAGCTTTCCCGTGACGGCAACAAATCCAACGTGATGTTGACGTTCTCATCACCCGAGCTCGCTTTGGCCCGCTTCTAACGTTGGCAAACTATTAGTGTTCCTGAGCCACTAAAATGCACGGTTTGAGCTTGTGCTGTCCTGGCCAAACTGGGCAAACAGTTAGGAGGGGAGGGGAGGGGAGGGGAGGGGAGGGGAGGGGAGCTCAAAGTGGGCAGCAAAGAAGCCCGAAGGACCCTCCAGAAAGAAAATTGCAGTCTGTTTGTCAGATTGGCAGGTTGAACTGGCCTGAGTGGATGGGCTGTAAGCTTGGAAGTTGGTTCACTCAGGTTGGGACTTCTGATTTGGACCTCGTCCATGCGCATGTTTCTCCCCAAGCCGACAAGAACACAAGGAATGCGCTCTATGGAAGCCCCAAGTGGGTTCTGTGCACCAACTCACAAGCCTGGGTTGGAACAAGGAGGTGGCCTGGCGACAAATGTTGCACTTACGCGGGTAAAGTGTCTTTGGGAGTGTAGCTACGAATTGAATGGACAAGTTTCGGGTGGGGGGTAAAGATAGTCACAACGAAGACGGCCACGCTTTTAAGGGATGGTTGCACATGCGGCAGCAACGTTGTTCGGCCTCAAAAGGAAAAACATGTGGAGTGTGGTCAAAGTCCTGGATGAATGCCTCGCAACGGACCTGGTTTGTTCTTTCCAGTTGGCCAGCTTTGAGTGCATTGGAAAGCTGCTTGGCTTCTGTGCCAGCTGATGTATCGTATTAATCCCACCACCCCTTAGTTTGCTTCTGCAATAGCAAGGAGTTGTGCCGAGATGTGATTGCGACCCACCACTGGCAGCAGAACTATTCAGTGACGGTGTCACTGTCAGCAATCAACACAGCTTTATCCGAGTTTCTAGCACTGAATGCTTGAACACTCCCCTGCTATTCATGCAACAAAACACTAGCACTTTGCTGCAGTGCTCCCCTCCCCTCACCTCCCCTACCCTCCGCCCCCTCCGCAGCGCCACACCTCCCAGTGTGCCTTCATTGGCTTGTCGGTGGGCAGCCTCTTGGCCGCCGCGGCCTCAGGGCTTGGGCTGTGATTCAAGGCTGGGCCATGGACAGCTCACGGGTTCCGTGGAGCAGAGCATCCAGATGAGACGAGAGGTTCGCTGGGCCCAGTGGCGTTCTGGCTCTCGAGAGCCACGCTGACCAACAGGGCCAGATTGATCTTCCTCGATGTTCAGTCACGAAGTTCAGATCACCCAGTCAGGGAGTTTTAGCTGAGCTCGAGACACTGCCTAATAATGGGCAGAGGACGATTAATAACATGGGGTGACCGGAGGAAACGGCTATGTCAGACGGCCCTGGGCATGATGCAGTGTCAAGATGTCCGCTAGACATCTGTAGACTTTAGAATCTAGGTTCATAGGTGGTTCGTCGGCCAGCACAATAAGCCAAAGAAGACTTCCCCGGCCACAAAGCATCAAGCTTCGGGCATAGCCGCGTAGCTCTGGGTTGCAGAGTCACCTTGGTTGTTGTACGTTGTGCTGGAAGCGTTGCGTTTGTGAAACCTAATCTTCAGTGATCCCCTTTGCGGCAGTGCCGGAGCCTTGAAATGGCATTGCCCATCAAGCGAACGCTCATGTAGTTAGTTGTCTTTGAAGGCGAGAGCCACTGAAAAGGAGGTTTCTTCCAATCTTCTTGGCCATCCACGATTTGTATTAAAGACAGGCTGGGCTCATCAATCAAAGAAACACCTTGTAAGATTGTAAGACTATGCTCATGAAGGCCACTCGTCATAATTCAGATGAGACCTCAGCCGTGACATTTGTGAGATCCCAGTGGCGCGCTTTGCAACTTTATGATTCTGTGCAGTAAACAGTCTACAAGAACACCTGCTTCCAAATGTGCCATTTCCATGCCGAGGTTTTTCTCGCACTCATCTCCTTCGCCCTGGAGCTTTGTGGCTGCCTGAGCATGGGAAGAGATGAGACTTTGCGGCAAGACCATTCAGATATTACTCTTTCTTCCGCTCAGATTCCTGTATTCAGAGAGGGCTCAAGGTCCGATTCCGACGCTCACTGGGCCAATTGACCAGTTCGAGTCGGGGGCCCACGCACGCGTCAGGTCCGAATTGTGACGTCGCCGGTGGCCTTATCAAGGCACGCTGTGAGTCGCGGGGTCGGCACTCGTGTGCTTTGCCCCCCCCCCCCCCCCCAATCGGTTGGTTCTCGTCATGCTAGAGCAAAATGCATGCCAAAGGACAGATGCAGAAGTGATGCAGGCATATATCTCGTATAATTATCATATGCATGCGGAAATTATATGCACATGTATGTATGCTACTCGTTGCTAGTTTTATTCTATACACATGTATCTATGTTATTCGTTGATGGTTATTGAATGACAGTCTTGGGCAACACTCGAACATTGAACACTTCGAAGCAGGGTAACTGTGACTTGGCCCTGGAGGTCGGCTTCGCAGCCGTGGAGTCGGTTGGCGCCGCAAGGCGAGGCGTGTCGATTGAGCTTGCAGTAGCGTTCAGTTGCGAGTGGCCCACTCACGACGTTCTGCGCATCATCTGAAAGTATCAGAAAAGCGGGCTGTGCACATTGAGAGAGACTCAAAGGCGGTTTCGGGACCCAAGTGACCCCTTGCCTTCAGGATCTTCACGATCCGCCTGGCGGAAACCAACTTCTACTTGGCCATGGCCATGCTGGCCGCGGGCCCTAAGCTTGCACTCCCCGTCCAGGGGAGCCTGAGCCAGGGGATGTTGGGCCAGCATTTGCAGGCGTTTGTTGCTCGTTCGTTTTGTAGTATGGTTGAATGAGCCGAAATCAACCCTTCAACCAAGCCCTACCAAAACAAGTGAGCTACCTTGCTTTACTTTGGCCTGTTTTGATAATATATTCTTGCAAGAGTGCCTTTGATCTGAACACCCATGAGGGTGATCATCCCAAGAGGCCGAACTCCAAGTCAATGTGAGGTCCTTGCTAGTCAGCCAATCTGCCGTTTGCATGGAACTCGGCCTCTTGACTCAACGCACCAGCAGGCACTTGGATTACTCAAAAGATGCTCAGAAGGTCATGACATCCCGCTTGGAAAACAAGGCAGTATTCAGCACACTCTCCAGTTTGACCCTAGTACGAGTGAGACATGGTTGTGAAGCCTTGCAGGCTCGAACCTATATCTCACCAAGCAAGTTGATGTGTCCTGATCCATTTGAAGAACAACGGGGTACAACGCGAGGTATTTACTCGCAGGTGTACACGGTACAAATCCCCGCAGGCCCGAATGAATTTTCAGGCTGTTGTGGGTTTGCGGTAGTTGACATGTTGGGATGCCTTGCTTATGAAGCCCTCTCAAGGTGCCTGTGGGGGCATTGGCATCTTGCGCTGATCTAGTCCGGTGACGGTGGGCGCTTTTGGGGGTTATCACTGTTGCCCAGAATTGCTGGCTTGCAAGAGCATAACCGGCAAGAATGTTTGGCACTTGACAGAAGCAGGTTTGTTTCATCCCAGGCTGAAGAGGAGAGACACGGCGATGTGTTTGCATAGTCCTACACAGTGCTTCTTTTTATGCCACATACAGCAGACTTTTGACTCAACACTGTGTGAAAGAGCCGACACTCTGCCCAGCCTCGACCTGTCCCCAAGCACCCGTCGCCTTCTGCGAGCGAGGCGATGGTGCTGGTGCCGGCCACGAACCTGGCCTTTCGGAAGACGCCTCTGGACAGCGAAGGCACGAGCCAAATGGGGCGAGTCAAAGGTAAGGAAAAGGCGAGAGATGGCAAGGCATGCGTTTTGTTTTTGGAATGGCACTGGATTCAAGGATTTGGGGGCTGGATTTGAGCTCCTGAGCTCCAGCACCCTCAAGGGATGAATGTGTGCTTAGTAAGCAATGTGTTCGTGGGCTGCTTATTCTGCATATGGTCAGGGATACCGCTTGGTGGCATACTTGCAGGGTGGATTGAGTCTACGCTTCCTTTCATTGTGCACATGGCCGAAAGAATCTCGGGCGAGCAATATTCCTATGACGCATCCGGAGTTCCCCCCACTCAGCGGAGCCGTGGCTTGGCAGTGACTCTGCGGCAATTTCCCGGTGCTTCGCAGAGGGTTACATGGACTGTCACCCCACATATGGCTTATGATCACTTCTGAGAAAGTCGTGTGCCGCACAATGGAGGATTTGATGTCAAGCCTTGACACTGCGTGGAAAAGTCATCTCATCTTTCAGGGTCTCAGAAAAGTCATGGGTCCAGGTGATCGGTCAAAGACCTGAGAGGTCTTTCGTCGGGAGCTGTACGCCCTACGCCAAAGCAAGCTTTTATATACCCTCACGTCACTTCTGTGCCATATGCTGGAAACCAGCAGACCAGTGCCTCAGAAGGTTGCCCAATGTTCTGAACAGCATGCTTGATAAGGATTGACACGTGAAGCTTTGTCAAAAGTAGGGGTCCTTTTTCGTCCTTTTTTGTATCCTCTTATAAAGGCACAATGCTGCACCAGGTCCCAAAAAAGGTCCATATGTTTGACAACCCCACGCGGACTGGCTCGATACAGGAGTGCCACAGATTTGGGACACAGAGCCATTGGTCTCTCCACGCCTATGGTTTGTAGGCAATGAAAGCGAGAGCAGCGTGGCAGCCTCGGGGACGGACCGATCTTTGGCGTGAGGCGTGAGGATCTTTGTACGGATGAAGCTGTGGGACTTGCATCGTGCTTCAAGTTCCGATTTGTCAAGGTGTACTTCCTCTGTTTGGCAACTGGCTGTGTCCCTGAGGATTTTTAGCCCAGCGTGGCAAGAGAGCGACTTGGGCAAAGAGATCCAAGCCATGTTTCGGCGTTGAGAACATCCTGACTGTTGGAGGGTTGGCTGGGAGCTGCGGACTGCATGACCAAACAAGCCCATATTGGCCAATGTCCCAACAGGATCAAGCTGACCGACTCCAATCAGACTTGTACGCACACTCATAGATTATTTGGGTTCCACTTGTTGACCCCAAGATAGACCGAAACACCCCAGAAACCGGCATGAAGCATGTTTGAGGTTTAGTCTACCCGGATTCCTTGCATTTGACGGACCGGATTTGCTTGCCAAGTTGTGGCCGCTGCTGACCACGGCGCGCATCATGCCTGGCGCCCGAGCAGTGGCTCTTGGCGTGTGCAAAAGGCACAAGGCCCAAGAGCATTCAGACCAATGAGACCAATGAGACCAATCAGACCAACGTGGATGGTTCTTCGTATGAATTGGCACTTCAGCCTGCGAAATGAGGAGAGGAGTGGAGAGAGAGGGGGGCGGAAAGAGGAGGGGCAGAGGCTGGTCAGTCACAGGTTGTTTTCTTTGTTCCGGCCGCAGGGCAGGTCTGTCAGAATGTGAGTGGTATTGGTGCCGGTCCTAAGGCAAACAACATATAGGTCCTTCGTTGGGAACGGTGCGGTTTGTCCTCTGCATGTTGCAATTTTTCGGAGCAGTGGTGGTGCCACTCCCACCGTTACTTTCAGGTCGGGGCCCTTCGGGGTCATAGCCGGGGTCTACGGCGCTCTGCTGCCCCATGAGGCCTTGGAATGGATATGGCCCATTGAGTGACGACGCATCCATCCATACCCCAGCCAAAACGATGTGTCGTTGAGGGGGGTGTACCCCTCTGAGGGAGGAGGGGGGCAAAACATGTTTTCCCAGCAACTGTATCCTTGCGTCGCAAGGAATAGACATAATTCCTTTGTGGTTTTGCAGTGCCGTAGATTATTTGCTATGTGCATGATTGAGCAAAAGTGTGGGCATTCCCTTGCCTCGTCTTGGCCCCCAGATGCTGACCAACTCCTTCGGCCCGGACATCGGCCTCCTGCTCGCAACCGCCCTCGGCTACATTATAGGCCGACCGCCTCCGTGTGGGGCTCTGTTTGCCTCCATGAGTGAGTAGCCACCATGTGACCATGTGGTCACAGTTCTGGTTCCAGAAGGTTGGCCCTCCTATTTCCTCAGGGTTCTTTCACTTCTCAAAGACGCAAGATCTGGGACTCCCATTCAATCAAATGGCGTGCTCCCCAGTTGAGTGTTTGTTCTGGCTTCCCGCCCTTGCTAGCGGGCAGAACTTGAGCCGGCCCCGGAATGGGGAATGTTTTTTTTGTTTTGTTTTTTTTTACTTCCTACGTCGGGGGAGCCGCAAACGTGCTTTCAACTGCGTTCGACATCCAGTTGTGTCGAATGGGATATTGCCGAAAGCATGGCACAATCACCTGGTAGCTGCTCCGTCACCCTCACAAGCAATATGCTTCCAGCTTCAGTGTGCAGGCCTCGCGTACGGCCTCGCGACGGACAAGATGCTTGAAAAGCCAGCAGGCATGGCAGCGGGTCAGTTCGCTGCGGCTTACAACACCAAAAATTGAGGGTAACTCACTGAATTTCTCAATGGGGGGCAATGGGGGCTATTTTTTCTTCTTCTTTTTTCCGCTTTTGGCTTCTTGGCTTCTCGGCTTCTCGGCTTCTTGTTTTCTTGGCTTCTTGGCTTTTCGGCTTCTTGGCTTTTCTGCTTCTTGGCTTCTGGGCTTCTTGGCTTTAGCTTTTCGCATCCTCTGCATTCCCAGTTCAAACCAGTTGGCGTTTGCAGCTTTTCGTTGGTTTATGCGGCTTTTGGTGGCTTTGGCTATAGCTTTTCGCATCCTCTGCATTCCCAGTTCAAACCAGTCGGCGTTTGCAGCTTTTGGTTGGTTTATGCGGCTTTTGGTGGCTTTGGCTTTGGCTTTTCGCATCCTCTGCATTCCCAGTTCAAACCAGTTGGCGTTTGCAGCATTACCCTAGTTTATGCGGCTTTTGGTGGCTTTGGCTTTGGCTTTTCGCATCCTCTGCTTTCCCAGTTCCTCTTCGGTTCGTTGGTTTGTGGCTTTGGCTTCCCACATCCTCAGCATAACCAGTCCCTCCCTATGTCACTTCTTCGAACATCATGGGGGGGGCTGCCACCCCCCCAACCCCCCTGCAACTTTATTTGAATCATCACTTCTTCAAACAGCATGGGCGGGGGCTGCCGCCTCCCCCCCAACCCCCTCGCTACTTGTTAGATTTCTTGCAGAGATTTGATTGCACCCCTATTTGGTTCATCACTTTTTCGAGCATCCAATTTTGCGAGAAAATGCTGTAAAATACGACATGTTATGATAGTTTATGTAATCTATGCAATGTTTGCACTTCTTCGATTATCATAGGGGAAGCCACCCCCGCCAACCCTCCCGCTGAATTTTATCCCCCCAACCCCCCCGCTACTTTTCAGATTTTCTACAGAGATTTAATTGCACCCCTATTTGAATCATCACTTCATCATGGGGGGGGCTGCCACCCCCCCCAACCCCCCCCCGCTACTTTTTAGACGTTTTGCAGAGATTTAACTGCACCCCTATTCGAATCATCACTTCTGCGAACATCATAGGGGGGCTGCCGCCCCTGCTACTTTTTAGATTTGCTTTGAGCCACGATTTGTTGGTGATGCTGGGGATGTTGGTCGGACGCGGGGGATGTTGAAAACGATGCTGGGGATGTTGACAGGCTAGTGGAAAATGTCAGTTTCGCGAGAGAATGCTGTAAAACACGACATTTTGGTGGCCCGACGGAAAACGAACAAATATCCCCCCCCTCCCAAAAAAAACAAAAAAACAAAATAAATCCGCCCCCTTTCTCAATGCTGGCCGTGGGGAGTAAACGTGGCCGTGCCTGAACCTTTTTGTTGTACGCGTGTCCGGTTCAAGCAGTTTCCGTACCGCCTGCTTCCACATTGCCCACAAGTTCTGGCAATCATGTGGAGCTTAGTTCTGCTTACATATAATTATATAATATATAATTTTGTACAAAGCGGATTAAGCAGGCTCAAGGCCAAGGGTGGCTATCTGACTGGTGTGTGGGTGTGTTCTTGAATCATGCTCTTGCACACTTCAGAGGGCAAAGCGGATCCCTTCCGTTGCAGTTCGGCCCGGCAGCAGACGCATGACCTTCTTGAAGCTTTGAGTTTGCTGTTTCTGCCACGTGATAAAGGCCAGTGGCGATGCTTGGCTCGTTTTGTTTTCCTTTGGTGGCCCTGACAGTCTGCTGCCGGTCCATGGTGCGCAGGGTTTGTCAATGCCCTTCACAGCATGGCAGCAGCCTATTCTGCAGCAAACCCTTTGTACTAAGCACGTTTGTTGACTTACTTCAACTTGCCATTGAGCTCTTGAGTCCCTGAGAGACACAATTGCATAGCGCACGCTCAACTGGTACGCATGCTCAAATGGTTTGTGCGTTTTGTTTGACCTCGGGAGAACTTAAGACCCGCTGCCCCAGGCAAGTGGAGTGTGGCTGTCGGTACGCTTGCCCGGGGCCCTGGCTGGAGACCTGCGAAAATCACCATGGCCATGCCAAAAAACGTCAAAACCCAGGCAGATGAAGCTTGGGATAGTCCCGACCACAAATGGGTGCAGCCGCCTTTTGCATCGTGTACGTGATTTTGGGTTCACCATTTTGGTACCACAGTTGGAGTTTGCAGACTGGCTCCGCCTTCAGTACATCTATGCTGGCCTTCTTCTCTCTTATTCCCCTAGGCTTGCCTCTGGACTCTCTGGTGGGTTCAACACATTGCACAAGCTTAAACGCCCCATGCTGGGTCGAACATGATTTTCTTCATGGTGATCGGTCCTTTCAGGTCATCTGCTGCACACGTTGGACCAAGACCCAAAGTGGCCAGGTCTTACACTGGTGTTTTTTTTTTCTTCGGGGGGGTCTGCGCCGCATTTTGGGGAGGCGTACTTTGGCTGCAGATAAATCGGCAATACCCTCCTTCGGCCGAGGAGCTGAAAATGGCAGATATTTCCACCCTCCACACCTTCACTGTGCTGTAGGCCAATTTGGAAGGGTGAATCCGTGACCCCCTGGTTTCAGAGTGGCAAACCAGCCAGCCAGCCTCTTGCGCCTCAGTCTGCCCTGGCGTGTGGGCTGCTGCTGCACTGGGCCCGGAAGCCTATGGGTTAAGATTGGGGATGGCACCAGAGTGGGAAGCAGTTTGAGAGGCCACATCTCACGTAACCTTGTGCAGCCACTTGCTTGCAGAGATTGCTTTTCCAGGTAACACCCTCGGCACGTAAACACCATGTCCCTCCTTAGGGCCTGTCCCTAACTCCAAGGCCGTGGGTATGGTGGTGGGCAGCGTTCTGGGAAGCCTCACGGGAGCGCTCATCGAGCGGCGCGTGATGAAGGACCGGCCCTTGGTGGCGATTTGGTAAGCGATCTTTGGACTTCAACTTTTTATGGTTGAAACAGCTCGGATTTTCCATTGGACCCACAAGTTAGACCTCTTACAGAGGGGTCAGCAGCACACAAAAAACCGAACCTGCCTCTCGTTGCACATCGGGCCTTCGAACGCGCGCGTTTTCGACCAGCCCGAACGCGCGCGCCCATGCGTCGTGGTTTTGGCAGCGGGACTTGCGCTGAACAGTCGCTGCAGGAGCTGGACGCCACCTGCCTGGAACCCCCGCGCTTCACCAAGCAGTCCCAGGTGGCCTCCGCGAGTCCGCCAGATGCCCAGCATCCTTTGCATCCGACGGGGCAGATCCATGGGATGCAATGAATGCCCCCGCATTTCTAGAGTTGAAACTTGGGATACCTAGGGAGAGGCAGGAAGGACAAGAGTTCTTTCACTGGCTTTGGCGTGTTGAGCAGCAACACCGCTTTGATCAAAGCCCACACCGGAGCCTTTTGGACAAGGATGGAATTCACTGGCAGGTTGATCGAGCGTAGCCGCTAGGCAGTAGAATTGCCTTGACCTAGCACAGGCAGGTGGTTCCAAAGTTTGGACTGCACATGTTTTGTTTGTTTGCTTCACAGGCGCTTGCGTTGTCTGAAAATGCAGTGGCTCACTTACTACGCTTATCATCAAGCGTCGCTTCGAATTCCATACAGGACAGAAGGGACAACCAAGGGGACCGCTGTGAAAGTTTCAAAGCAGCAATAATTGTTTAAAGAGCTGCAACGCACCTCGACAAACCACACAAACACACGAAGCACAATGAACTCATCAATGCGCAGCACGTGAAATATGAGGCCGCGCTTGAAATCGTGTGTTTGAGAACTAGGCCTGCTTGATTGGATTTTATGCGGGTTTCTCTTTTTTCAAGGGACCTCCCCTGTTTTGTTTTGCAGTTTTTTCTTGGTTTCCCTTTAAACACAAAAAAAGGGGTACCCTCAAAAGACAAGACCCCGGTTACGTCTTTTTCCTTCTTTGCTTTGCTGGTGTCTTGGATGCCGCAAAAAACTCCCACCGGCACGGCGCCTCGGCGCCTCGGCGCCCAGGGGTTTGGGCCCGGTGTCCAACACCGTGGCGGCGATGCGGCCCAAGTCGGAGAAAGCGGCGGGGGCGCCAAGGAAGGTCTGGGATGGAATGGGATGAGCCCGAAATGGGTTGCCCATTCTAAATGGGACAGGAACAAAGCCGGTGGGGTAATTCTTGACCCATGCCCATCCCGGGCTTCCCATGATTCCGCTGCCTCGTGTTCTTGGCTGGCTTTCTTGAATGAACGGGGCACTTTGCTGGATTTGGCCACTGGCAATAAGGGGGCGGCAACGGTTGGGGCCACTCTGTCACTGAAAAAGGCGACCCTTTTGTTTCACACCCTGCTTGGACTTAAATCAAACAGAGTTGGCTGAAGGAGATGTGTGCAAAGGCCGGACCCTGCAAATCCGGTCTATAGATGTCAGTTTTGGATCGCACACTTCACGACAGATCTAATCCTAATGCATTGCATGTCCAAAGCAACCGAGGGCCCTGGCCATCTGACAGTTGCATTTCCCGAGCTCGGCCTGGCAGCTAGGATGTCCAGTCAAATGCTTTCAACTTCCGAGGAGACCTCGTTTCTGGTTTTTTTTTTGGAGACCTAATCTGTTCTCACTTCCAAAAAGACTTGATTGCAGCTTTCCTTGGTTCGGGGTGAACGAGTCAGGCAGAGATCCACACGAACCTCCCTACGCTCACAAGGGTGCGCTGCCCGCTCTGCCACGGGATTCTGGCGGAGCCGAAACAGGGTTCCCATGGCTTCCCTACTTTTCCTTTTTAGCGGTGTCAAGCCTTTGAGTAAACATCACATTTTCGGCCAACAAATGAGGTCCCTTCGTGCTTATTGAAAGTAAACATCACGTTTCCCGGATTGAATTGAGCTGTCTTTAGGTGAAGTGAAGTTTGAGCCAATATAAGAAAGCCTGCCCCTCCAACTGGATTGGACCAGGGGACAGGATGGACAGCCTCAGTTCAGAGATTGCCTGCGGGTTTCCTGTCGTGAGACGAAACCTGCCTTCCATGGGCATGCCCAAGGATTTTTACCAAGCAATCCGAAGGGGTGGCATTCCACAAAAAGTCCGAGTTCGGAAGCACTTGATGGAAAGCAATTCCAGCGGCGCCTCGAGGCAACAGCTGTAGACCTGCATAACTTAAGGCAAACTGACAGGACACCTTTTCCTTTGAACACATCAAGTGCCTACACCACTTCGGCAGAGGCTTGTGCAAGACGCCAGTGTTGTGTGATTTCTGTTTGGACTGGAATGGAAAACAGCTCGCCGCTTTTACCCAGTCGTTTTCCCTCCAGAGGCACTGTCGTTCTCAGCTTCTAGTGGATGATACGTTCGACCTCTCAATCAAATCTTCGCCCCATATTATGATGCCTGCCTCTCTGAGATGACAAAGGTCCCCCGCATGGGCCATTGAATTCTTCAGTTCCTGGCAGTTTGGGCGCCTTGAAGCCGGGCTTGAGACCAATAGATCGCAAACGCGGCATGAAGCGGACATCAGGGATCCCCCACCAGCGTCCGGCAAGCGGTTGGGTTTTTGTTCCAGTCGTCCTAAGCCGCGGATCCACAAAGAATAGCCAGCGGTTTTGGAATCAGCATTGATTCTTTGCATCATTTGTCCCTCCTTTCGGGGTAGGGGGTAGACCCTCTGTTGTTTGGACTCACCTACCGTGAAAGTCCGGGACATCCAGGCGACCACCCCTGGCGAGCTGACCCGTGGCGACTCAGGCCGCGAGCGCGTCAAATTCTGAGCTTTCCAGGACTCAACTCTGCCAGCCATGTTGCTCGCCCTTGCGGGCCTAAGTTCCGCGATCTGTCAGTTGCGCAGTTTAGCAGTATTTTAGGGCCCAGGGCATTTGCACGGCTTTTGCTACCTTGTGCATGGAGGCCATAGCGCCAGCGCCTCACCTGCAGCAAACTCTGAACCCCGTCAACCTTGAACGAGTGATCAGGTTCTTGTGACTTGCTTGTGGTCCCCTCTCGCTTTTTCCCGGGATTCTTGTTCTTCCGTTTCGCTTTGTGGGTCATGTTTCTTGCTTGGGTTCCCTTTGTCGTGTCAATACCCGAGATATCCTTCAATGTTGACCCATTCCTTCCAATTTTGCTGCCAGGCTTTGACGAGAACCCCGCGGCGCTGGACTGGAGGTCGGCCCGAGCTTCGGACTGCATAGCTTGGTCCGTTGGACTGTTTTCAGGGTCGACATCAGACTTCCAGGGTCATTTTAATCTGCTGGATGGGAGGCTTAAGAATACTTCCGGAGCTGTGACTGAGGCCGCATCCCCTTGCTTCCAGAGCTTTCTTGTAGCCCGGTCGCAGTTCGGCTCCATGGGAGTATCCTCAACTTCGGCTTGCATAGAGCAAAGGCAGAGGAAGGGTCCTCGGCAGCTGAGCAGATCTGCCGTACACATGAATTCTAGGGATTGTGGATGCTCAAAAACCGGCAACAGATGCAATAGTGTGTTTGTCTATGCAAAAGTGTGTTTGTCTACGGGGATTGGGTACAGTACCCTGACCGACTGTGATCCAGGCAACGTGTCAATATGATACATTGAGAGACAGCTGGGCCCAGCACAAGAACGTAGCCGGACGTATCCATGCCCTTTAGCGTGTAAGCATTGCAGTAGCAAACCATCAAAACGGAACGGCAAAAACAACATTGTGGGTCGGTGTTTCCAGATTGGACATCCTCAATCCCAGAGATCACTTGTTTCCATACTGGGGTTTCCCAGTATATCATGGTGTTCTTTCTTTGGGTGGCTGCCTTTGCAGCCGAGGCAAGACCTTGCCCCCGTTTTTTGGCAGCCAGGCAGACAGAGGATGAGCACCATTTGGCCGTCCGCGACGAGGAGTGGAGGCTCCGGATTTCTCGGGTCCGCATCGGAGCAAAGAGAGTGTCCGTCCCTTTGCAATGCTTTCAGGGAAACATAGCCATGTGCCAAGACTCTTGCTCGTGCTGACACCAGAAGGTGTGCCAAGACTTGCTGAGTAGGCTCCACTTACAGCACAAGGTGGTCATGCCGTGATTGTCACACCGTGTACGCACCACAAATATCCCCTGCCATAAATCAGCAGTTGGCTTGTTTGAGGCAATGTGAGAAGCTTTGGTAGCGGGAACTGGCGGCAGCAACATGGCCGACATGTTGTGCGGGGGTTGCCCAATGTGTCCAGTGTGCGGGTGCAAGCATTTGACTTGTTTGTTGCGTGGATCAGTTCGATTGGGGTGAGATGTCTTGAGATGAATGACGAGTTCACCCTGATTAATGTTTGCCTGATCTGCGGAGTCTTTGCCAGCAAGTCATGGGCCTACGGATGCTTCCCAGCTAAGTTGCGAGGCAAGAAAACTTGCCGACTGTGAAAAACTGCAGGCATATTGCTCGTGTTGGATCCTCAAAGGGCGTCTGTGGTGGACAAGGCTTGTGAAGAGGTGTGGTGTTCTTGGGGTGACATCAATCGAAAGTGGATAACTATTGAAACTTGCAACATAATTCGATCGGTGCAACTAGGGCAGTTCGAACAAGGCCCGTTGGCTGGCTACATCCTGGCCACCTTTTTGGGTGGACCACTTGGTGGAATTTTTGTAGGGGCTTGTATTTTGGACATCTCCTTGTTCTGCCAGGGAAGGCACCGGTCCCTACTCCCCCGACGCCGCCGACGCCGCCGACGCCGCCGACGCCGCCGACGCCGCCCACGCCGCCGACTCTGCCGACGCCCCCTATGCCCCCGACGCCCTTGACACGCCCTATGTGGACGATGCGCGGGACGAGTACTACGATGACGGCCCGCCGACCAACGGCTTCGGCGCGCCTGGAGGCTAAGGGAGGTTCTAGGCACATTTGGCCCTGTGCGCCGTGTGGACTTTGGGAAGCTTGACGAATTCAAGCGCGAAACGCATTGTATTTTGTGTCTTTGCGGGAAACTGTGGTATCACAAGCTTCCAAAGTTATATATATATATATATTTCCACTCTTAGCTTTGGGCTTGTTGTTGGGCGGCGGTTGCGTGGCCGCGGAACTGTTGCCGTGTTTTCCCACGCATGACGCAAACATGCATTTGTTCGCAGGCTGCCTGCATCCAAAAAGGTTAAGCACGGTACTTGTACTTGGCAACGAAGAGAGCAGCAGGCAATTGGAAGCAAGGAATTCTGAAACCTCCTGCGCCCGGGATGGAATTGTTTGGGATGAACAGCTCTATTGTCATTGGTACGGGCAGCTACAGACGAACCTTCATCATGACACTTCAAACACTTCGGTTTGTAGACTCCGACAAGAGGGCTCTTGCTGCTAGAAGTGAACATGCACTGGAGTTTCGGAACATATTGGTGTTCAGCGTTGCGATGGTTCCGCAGCGGCGACGCGGTCGCCTGCCTCTTTTTTTCAGAAAGGATCGTCATCCTGAGCTGTGCCCTCATGGGGTTTGCCAATGGTTTTGTTTCTTGAACAACTCATTTGTTTTTGTGTCTGTTTTGTTTTTAAGTGTGACAAACCGCCAGTTGTCAAAGACAACACCGACAACACGAAATAGATCAATCAGGATATCTACCTTGATTCCGATTTGTTATACGAACATCTTTCCAAATACGATGTTGACTAAAACGCAATTAGCTTTCAAATACGCAGCACATATGTAAGCACAATGTTTTTTTTTTTTTTTTTGTTTTTTTTTTTTTTACAATCTTGAATTGATAGAACTGAAGCTGCACGTTCCTTGAGTTTCTATTGGATGCTTACCAAATAGAAGACACGATAAGACTGTCTTTCTGTATTGAGCTCCATTTTACTTGTCTAGACAAACTTCATTGAACACCGCATTTGGCAAGCTATTCCTATTAAAGCCTTAATTAGCTGAAGATGTCAAACAGCAAATACTTACTTGAATTGTGCCCTTTAGATTTTGATCAAATGTTCAAACTCCTTCGGGAGAAGTGTTCCTTTTCTTTTTTAATTGAATCCATGTCAATTCTAATTGTCTGAATCAAACATTGCAAAGGAGCTCCCATTTAAGACAAATCACGTTGTATATTTCATTGGTTTCAAACCCCCAGTCCCCACGCCGACGGGGGGCGGGAAACTTGAAACTTGCAAACGCTGCATTGGCGCCTCGAAGTGGAACTCTTTGGATGGACGCGCCCTGCCTTCGAGTTCCTGAAAAGTGGAAGCGGCGTTGATGCATCGCTAAGGTCACAGGCCAGCTGGAACACGTACAGCGATGTGGCACAAGGCGGGGTGCACCGTGGATGCCTGGGCCAGTTTTGGCCTTGCCGTGAGAACTGCGCCAGAAGGTGCGGACAAAGGGCGTGAGTACACACCGTGCAATGCTGGGGGATGTTCGGACCGGTTCTGGCTGTGCCTCGCGTGATCAGCTTTCTCAGCAATGCTGGTTCGACCCTTTGGCCGACGGCTGTACTTCTCTTTTTGCCAACCCGGTGCTTGGCGCAGGCACCAATCAATGGCGGAGACCAGCCCCGGCAAAGGCACGTGGCCCTAGACTGTAGCTTTCTGAGTGACCTTGGATGTTCAACCTAGGTCAACATGGGTTTTTTAGGCCTTAGGCTTTGTTAATTGTCAATACTTTTGACGAGCATGCGCTGCACCAGACCACATGACTCCCAACACTTGTTCAACCAGTCAGTAGAGCTATTTCCAGATCAAGCCAACACATGGCCACGCATGTGCCTTCAGATTGTGCACCTTGTCGCAGCCATCCCAGCGATCCCTCTCATGACCGCCTGTATAGTTATGCAGTTATGCAAGATGAGGTGAGAGTGCAACCAGTTTGCAAGCTTCTCGGGGTTTACATGGCTGCTCCACTGTGGTGACGTGATCTACCCAGTTATCGAGAGAAGAGATATATAGAAATATATATGTAGATATCACGTGCGTTGTACTCTGTATGTGTATGTGCATATGATGTATGTGCATGCGCATAGTATGTATACATATAAATAAGTAAATAATTAAACATATATATATATATATGTATATATATATATATACACATGTATATGGTCATAACATGACCTGCTTGCCGACTGGGATGAACCCCCGTGGCCCGCTGGGCTTTTCTGATCTTCGCCCGCGTGTTCCGCGCAAAACGGAGGCCCCCAAGCGGACCTCATTGGCAGCCTCTGCCAAGGGTGCGAAGGCGCGGCGGGAGGCTCCGCGAGGGGAGCATCGTTGTGGATTTCCCTATTGGGACTTTGCTATTTCTGTTGTTTGAGTTGGTACCTGGTTTCTTGGTGGTTTTAAAGGGACACCAAAAGAAAAGAATCCATTTTGGTGGGCCCCCCCAACAAAAGACACATCGATCCAATTGTAAGAGTTGACCAGCCGCGCGCGTGAGAGATGGAAGATCTGGGACGATCCTGGACATGAGCTGCAACTATGAGCCCTTTCCCGATAGGCATTACAAGGACTCATGACGCATACATTCTATATATATATATATATATATATTGAAATCGCTACGCGATCCGCCGACGCCAGTGGGGTGCGAGGGATTTTAAGACCTATTTCATTTTTTTCATGGAAGTGATGCTGGGGATGCTGGACATGCAAGGGATGCAGCCACACAACGTACAGGAACAGACCCAATCTTCGCATCCAAAATTTCAAGACTTCCAGACACACAAAATTGACCAAACACAGAAAATACCAGAGATGTCGGGAATGCTGGGAATGCAGCTGGCTGGCCTCAAAAAAGTGAAAAAAAAACAGGTGTTTGATATTCCCCAAAATCAACCATCAAAAGCAGATACTAGCAACCCCCCTCAAATACCCCAAAAATAGACTTCCAAAAGCACGAAAATGCAGGGGATGTTTCGCAGTAACTGCCCTGTACAGCTGGGGAACTGCAAAAAACACTCATATTTGCAAATTCCATCAGTTCCTCAACGTACCACTGCCCTTGGTCCCACCCAGACAACTAACAGGCCAATTCCAACATCGCTTGGAACAGCGACAATCCTGATGATGCCGGGGATGCAGATCCTGCGCGTCCGAGGGAAACCCCCTAAAGACCTAGGCGAAACGCAGATTTTTAGCACGCAAGCCCCAAGAACACTGGGAAAATACAGGGTTTGAAGCTACAATGTACAATTTGGGTTTACACTTAAAAATAGGAAGCTGAGAAGCACCATTTATATATATATATATATATATATGTGTTTATATATATATATGTATATATATATATGCATACAAAGGTGGATTCAATATAGTTGTTCCGTGAATGTGTTGAAATTTACTGGGTCTTCTAGATGGGTGACCTTTCAAACCAGACAATGCCGAAGAGGGCCCAAGGCATTTTCTGGGGGCTCAATGGTTCCCAGAGTTGCCGGCAAGGTGAAGGACAAGAAGCAGATTCCGCCTCCGGGCCCGCGCGATGCCGGGGAGCCGAGGGTTGACTTCACGATCAATTGACTTGAACTCACTTTCACTGTCCGGGAATGCGGCTGCAGAGGGAGTGAAGCTGCAGTGAACAGCAACAGTGCGAAACCTTGAACATGCTAAGGGAGGCATAGCGGCTGCTTTTCTATGCCAAATGCAAAATGCTGCTTTCTACGATGAGTGCTGCGATGCCGGGAATTTGTGAGGCTTATCTTGATCTTGAAGAGGAGCATCTCTTGCTCCTTGTTGCCACCAACTTGACATGGCACTTCAATGCTGGTGGCACATCCAGTTGCCAGTCTTGGCCAACCACAAGACTTGAGGTCTCACAGTGTATCCCGATGCCGCTGCTTTTTTCGTATCATCGCCAGCCTCGCATGGCGGGGACGTTGGGCATGCCGTCGGCATGGTTTGAGATTTCATGTGCTTCGGGACATGAACGCGCGACGGGTTTGTTTTGCAATTCCAACCCACCTCTACGCAGGTTGGTGGAGCTACGGCTACTAAGATGTGTATTTCTGATCCACAATATTTGACTCAACCGTCTTCATTGAGACAGCCTTATATTCTGCAGAAGCAGGTTGTTCGCACCCATTTCAATCGTCTGTGTTGTAAACTCATCACGGCATCACGGGAACGCTCTAGTGGCAGTCGTGCGGCAAAAGGCAATTCGATGCTTCATTTTATTGGTTGATGCGTTCCGTGGTGTCACTGGGCATGCCTTCACCGTGGGTTTGACTACGGAATCTCTTTTGGATTCGCCTTTAAGATGCCGCGGCGGCATGCGCAAAGGGCCAGAGTCGAGGACGCCTTTGCATTGGTCAGTGGCCATGGTCTCCGCCGGACGTGCGCAACCCACCTCACCTGGCCTTCACTTCTCAAGCTCGTCCATTTCGTGGTAGCACCCACGGATGTGTTGGCGCGCGTCCCAGGTTAAGCAATCCCCCATAGAAATCACGAGGATGGCCCATGTCCCATGCCTGTGGATGGACAAAATCCTGCACCAGTTGGATGAGACATCCAGGATGGTTTCTGCTTCTTTGGGTTGCCATCTCGGGCTTCTCTCAGGTCTGGGGCGGCGCAAAGCCAGGCGAGCGACCCTTGGTGCAGGCCTCCCGATGCTGCAGACGGGGTTGTGTTGCTAGGGCCAACTGCACCAAATATGTCCTGGGCTGTTCAAGGGTAATCCTTAATCCTTACTTTCGGTTACGCAAGGATTTGGTCCCTTTTGTAGTGGCTTCCCTACACGGATGATGGATAAGGATTGGCCAACCCTCCATTTTGAACAGCCCTGATATTTCGGTTTTGCTTTGATCGGTGCATTGGCTTTTACGTTTACTTGCTAGACTGTCCAAATGGGAGGCCAGATAGTCCTTTGTTTGGTGCATGTGGCTCACCCTTTTGTTTGGGGCTCCAGATCGATATGAAACATGTTCTTGGTGTCCTGTGCATCATGCGCGCATTGTTTCGTTTGCTAACAAGATACAACTATGGACGTGTCTCATGAGGTCCATGCTTGTATCTAAGTTTTACGAAGCATTTCTACAAGGTTGAAAGAGGCTAGTAGCAAGGAGCTAGTCGAGCTACGATTCTAGGAATACTCTATGTGCGTCACCTCGCAAACTCGTACCTATATGGCCATGGGTCAAATTCCGGACCCCCCAGTGAACATCCCAATCCCCAGTAAAATAGACTAAAACGGGTGGTGCACCTACCAAAAAATGGTACCATTGGTTTTGACCCACAGCCATATTCATTATTCAAGTGCCAAAGTTTGGCTGGTACTTGGCAGGCTGCGCAGTCGGCAGCGGACGCCACCAGTGGGGGTCCTGGCATCAGACCGGAGAGAGGAGGACGCCCTCAATGCAAGGCGTGTTGCTCATGTTTTCAGATTTTGAGTTAATTCGATGCTGGTGCGGTGCCTTTGGGGCTGACACGGTATCACCACTTTCAAGAGGACACCTGAACACCTGATTTTGGGTGCATGAATGACGCCCTCAATTTCAATTGGATATGTCTCAAAATGAAAGAGCTAGAGTTACGCCAGTTTTAGTCTTCGTTTCCATTTACCAAGGTGCCATGTCGGGCACCAATTTTTGAGCCACACCCAAATCAAATGGCTTGTTGGATTCCACAAACCTGGCCGTGTTCCAACGAGAGCCAGCTTGTCCTTGCACGCGACATGTGGTGGCAGTCAGGCCCAAGGCTGTGTTCTCATGTTCCCTTGAATTGCAACCTATGCCGCAAGACCGCAGTCTCAGCAGCTTGTTGGCAGATCAAAAGGGCGAGTAATCCCTTTCATGGATCTCCAGTGCAAAGAAGACACAAAGAATGAAGAAACAAGTATTTGCATTCGCGAACACAGATGATGTTTGTTTTCCCAGTTTCCTCTCCTCAATCTGAAGGCCGTCCCCTGCTGAGGCCCCCGCCCGGAGTGAGAGGCCGCTGGGCCGCAGTTACATTTTACAAGGCAACAGGCGCAAATCACATACCGATGCGATGGTTTGGGACTCTTGGTTGCCTTTGCCCTTGCCTGCTCACAGGACCTGTGTCTTCCTTTACGTGTGTCAAAGCTGGCGGTTGTTTTAAGAGGGAAGCAACATGAGCCAGCAGACACAGGTCCCGAAAGCAACACAAACCAACTAGATGTCAGTACCATCCCCCAAACAACAACTGCTGACTCTGCCGGATAATAGGTTGCCCACACACAAGCACAAAGACAAATACCAACACAGACACGCACACGCACACATACAAAAGCACAAAGCAACAGGCTGAATCACAAGCACGGCCACAACCGCAATCACGACCCCCACACACCGACACAAACCAAGCCGACAGACTGACACAGACACAGACACAGACACAGACACAGACACAGACACAGACACAGACACAGACACAGACACAGACACAGACACAGACACAGACACAGACACAGACACAGACACAGACACAGACACAGACACAGACACAGACACAGACACAGACACAGACACAGACACAGACACAGACACAGACACAGACACCGACACACACCGACACGGAAAAAAACACCTAGACTTGCATTGCCAAATTGCTGCACGCCCGCCACAGCGCGTGCCCCGCCCGCCAGCCCGCACGAGTGCAAAGGCTTGCTTTCATCCTGACCGCAAGGATCCTTTGAGGTTATACTGGAAATTAGCTAGATGACATCCTATAAGCTACCTAGCATTACTTGCTTAACGAGGCGTTTTTGTGTGTTTTTCACTGACGGGAAGTCTCAAGTTTCGATTTGACTGCATCACACAATCGCGGCAACTTTCAGATAGGGGATCCTGGGAGCTGAAACCTTGAGTTCAAAGCATTGCCCCATCAATCTGAGCCTTGCAGGGAGTCCTTGTTGCCCGTTTTGTGTGCTTGAGCCCCAATCTTTCTTTCGGCCGAGGGTGCTTTGACGCCATCGTTGCTGCAGGCACAGCCAGCAGAGCTGTGGAGGAAAGTGAGAGACCTAAGCTGCAGTGGAGCTGTGCTGTCCTCCCGCGTGTGCTGGAGGATAGTAGAGGAGGATGACCTGGGAGAAAGCCTATTGCCTGTCGGAGCGCCATGCACATGAGGGCAGCTTCTCTGGCCATCCAAGGCACATCTTGGTATCCGTCCATTTCCCAGCAATGCGCTAGTCCTGCGTGGCAGTATCAGGGTCCATGCCCAACCCTCTTGCGCTCGTCAAACTTCAGCACGGCAAATGATACATGTCAACGCGGCATTCTGGGACAGTACACAATTGATTCCGACAAGAAATACAGTGTGTTGTGTGATTGTTTTCATGCCAGGTGCATGCAGCCCTTGAGAGAGCCATGAAGACGCTTCAGTCTAACATGGAACTTAGAAAGCCACGCTTTAGAGAGGAACATCCTTTTGGGGCACCCCCCTTTTTGAGTTCCATGCCAATTTTACGGGGGCATACATGGGTTCGGTCGGTTTTTTGGTTGCTTGTCATGGGCACACTATTTGTGTGGTTATTGGTACACTAGGCTTGGCAACCCTGCCCTGGGGAAATGGAGCGTTAAGCATCACACCACGCAATCTGACTCACCGTTGCTTAGACATCACGCCAGGTGACCGTTTTCTGTCCCGTGTGTTTCGCATCCCTGCAGGAAGGCTTCACCCTGCCGCTCTTGGCTGGATTCTGCGATTGGAATGTTGGGACTTTCGCGCGAAGCCAACGGTTGACACATGATTGGCGCCACTGCGGATACCGTTTTTTTTTTAAATTAAGCCAATTACAAGCAGTTGCGGCGTGAACAATGGCTCCTGTGTTCGAAGGCCAAGCTGTTCCAGCTGAGTCAGTTGGGTCCAGGGAGTCCAGGCTCACAGCGCAAGTCCAGCTGCAGCGGCGATTTCAATCTTTTCAGGGAGGTTAAACTTCCCGCGCCAGCGACTTGCAGCAGTCCAAGGCTCTGCAAGTGTCACGAATTTGCCGCGAAGGTGAGTTGCAGGTAAATGGCGTGTGTCGTGCACTGTCAAACGAGCTTTGCGACTAGTGGCAAGCCCAGATGAGCGTGCCTCAAACGTGACGTTTTGATTGACAACCTGCCCACCAGAATGTCATGAGGCACGAGCCATGTCCACTCCTACAAGTTTTGGAGTTGCTTTGTACTCTGGCACTCATGGCTTGAATTGGCCACGTGGCTTTTTTCAACCCGCAACACAATCGCATGTTATGACACACTTATGTTGCTCGAAAGCAGACGCAGAGCCTTCTTCTTCGAATAGATTCTCTTGAGCATTCCAAGATTTTGTGAAGATTCGGTCTTGTTCTATCTCCTTGCTTCCCTCTCAGAACAAGGAAGACAAAATACAACTCTGCTGAGCCCAAACCCGAAGCGTGGCCGACTGACTTCCAACGTTTGATCTTCTTTCAATGCCGGATGGGTGCTGCTCCTTCGGATGCCAAGA